TTTTTTTTTTTAAGGTTTTATTTATTTATTTGACAGTGAGATCACATGTAGGCAGAGCGGCAGGCAGAGAGTGGGGGGAAGCAGACTCCCTGCTGAACAGAGAGCCCAATTCGGGGCTCGATCCCAGGACCCTGGGATCATGACCTGAGCCGAAGGCAGAGGCTTTAACCCACTGAGCCACCCAGGTGCCCCCCAGGGTTCCATTTTTTAAATAATTTAGTTTCCTTATTTACTTAGTGAGGAAAATAACTATGATAAATAATAGGTCTTTGTTCCTTGTGGGCAGATCTTTGGTTTATATTTCATCGAACCCAGCACAGAGCTGACACAGGCACCCAATAAATATTTGTGGGATTAAGGGAGGGGCTAGTGAAGATTTCCTCTCGGGATAAAGCACAAAAGAAGGTGGCTTGCTGAGTGTCCACGCTTGGCACAGAAATATCCTATAATTAGTTATCACTGCTTATTTTCTTTAATGTAAAATTTAAAAGCCCATAAATGTTAACATGGTACGGTTAGCTACTGTGCTGCCTCTCCAATCAATCCCATATATCTGAATTTAGGTTTTCAGGGTGGCCAGCCAATTATATTTTCTTTTTCTCATTTCCAGTAAAATGCTTATGGATTTTATTTACTAATAGAAGAGTCTTCCTGTCTTACAAGATTAGAAGGATAACTCTTCCCATAGAAACAATGTCAGTAGCCAATGCACTGAAGAAATATGTTTAAAGAGCTTTCTTTGCTCGTGATTCTTGTATAACTTAAGGTATTACATTTTTCCGCACTTCAGTTTTTCCTCTTGTAGGAGGATAATACCACCCCATTCGTTTTGGAATTAAGTCAGAAAATGTATGAAAGGGGCGCCTGGGTGGCTCAGTGGGTTAAAGCCTCTGCCTTCGGCTCAGGTCATGATCCCAGGGTCCTGGGATCGAGCCCCACATCGGGCTCTCTGCTCAGCAGGGAACCTGCTTCCTCCTCTCTCTCTGCCTGCTTCTCTGCCTACTTAGGATCTCTGTCTGTCAAATAAATTAAATAAATAAATAAATAAAAATGTATGAAAAACACTGCTATCCATTTAAATCCCTGGGGACTTTACAAAGAAAATTGACAGTGGAAAAATCTCAGATTACTATATATTTTTTAAAATTTAAAATAGCTCTATAGTCCATACTTGTTTTCCCTTTTCTGCATTTATCACATTGATTGTTTTTATGTATCCAGGTGCTATACTTGTATTTTTACCGGGACTAGCAGAAATCAAAATGCTGTATGAACAGCTACAGTCTAATTCTCTCTTCAACAACAGACGCAGTCATCGGTAAGTTCATTGCTTTCCAGATCCTTACGCATCTGTTGCAGTTACATGCAAAGACAAATAACCAGAACGGTCTCTGATAGCCATCACGCTCTTTAGACCCTGGTGTCACTCCTCAAGCATATGTTTGTGTATGCCAGCTGGAAGGAGGCAAACCGATTTGTTCCGGGGAATCAATCATTCCCATTCCATTAAATAAAAATATTTCTCTTCACTTAGCGTAGTGACTCAGCAAAATTGCATGTAATTTCAGTTGCCACATACAGGGGATGGGAGAAGCCAGTGTAAGTAACAACAAAGAAGTGCTGCCATTTGAGAAAAAAGTAATTTGTAACAGCTTCTTTTCCAGATGTGCATTTTCATATCTAAGGGGACAAGTACTGAAGAGATGAACGCTCCCTAGAAGCACAAGGAGGAAGTCTCTTAGCATAAGTCACTGTCTCTGCATCTCATTCTCTGAATTTCAAGACAGAGGAAAAATAATTCTCTACTGTTAGTGTGCTCTAGGCTTGTTACTCGTACAATATCAACTATTTAGTCCTCTTGACTATACTACTGAGTTATACTCCATTTTTTCCCAAGGTGGTGTAGGGTTTCTAGTTCATAGTCCTGAGTACACGTTTTGTAAGGCTCATAAGGAACCTTCTCATTTAGAGAAGCTGGGCCCTGAGGGCAGGTTGTAGAGAAGCTGCTGACACTCGGAGGCCAATTGTTAATTTTAATAGAAATTCACCCACCATTAATCCAGTTTCAGCCTTGTGTGTTAGAACACTGAATGTGCTTCTGTTTTCTTTCAGATGTGTGGTGCACCCACTTCATTCATCTTTATCCAGTGAAGAGCAGCAGGCAGTGTTCGTAAAACCCCCTGCGGGTGTAACCAAGATCATCATTTCCACCAACATTGCAGAGACATCCATAACCATCGACGATGTTGTCTATGTCATCGATTCCGGGAAAATGAAAGAGAAGAGGTATTTTCCTTTGGCACTGTAAGAGGAGGGCTAAAGATGTCTCGGTGAGGCTGATGTGGCAATGACCGATGCTCTTAAGCTACACGGATTGCCATTTGAAAAAATGTTTTATGAAAACTGTGGGTATATCTGAGTGATCTGTACCAGGACCGTAGTCTTAGAGTCACACGTGGTGGAAATTTTCAGGTTTTACCTTGGAAGTAGTTCTTTTTCCTCTCACTTTTTTTCATATGCTTTCCATGTGCTTGAATGAAAAACAGGTGATCTAGGTGGTGATGGCTGTGTTCATTAGTTTGTCGTAACCATTTCACAGTATACCCATATGTGTCCAAACATCATATTGTGTACCTTAAGTACATACAGTTTTTATTTGTCAAATAAATATAAAAAAGAAAAAGAAAAAAAGAAAAGGCTGTGGAAAGGAACTGTATATAATTCACCAACATCTAATGCCACTGAAATCTGTGCTGTCTGCTCCCGCCACGGACTGAAATATCCAAGAACACACAGGACCCGTGTCTTTCGGTGGAAGTAAGGTGGTGCATCTGTTCTATCCATGCTCAGTAGGATGTTTTTATAAAATAGTTCCTTTTTCCATTTTCTTTTCCTCTGTAGATATGATGCCAGCAAAGGAATGGAGAGCCTAGAAGATACTTTCGTCTCTCAAGCCAATGCTCTGCAGAGGAAAGGTCGAGCAGGCCGTGTTGCCTCTGGGGTCTGCTTCCACTTATTCACCAGCCATCACTTCAATCACCAGCTGTTAAAGCAGCAGCTTCCAGAGATTCAAAGAGTGCCATTGGAGCAGCTGTGTCTGAGGTACACCTTGATCTTTATGTTCTGGCTTCTGGAAGGTCCACGTCTCTCACCTAAGTCCCGTGTGTTCTTCTTAGAACATTTTGCTGAGAGTGGACATGGATGAACTCACTCATTTGCAAAGGAAGAGCTCTTCAGTGTTACCATTCACTGTACTGAACAGTGTTACCATTCAGTGTACCATTCACTGTAACTTTCTGCACATGAAGATCTCTTACATTGCAAAGAATGGCCCTAAAGTAGAGCTTAGGAATACATTTGTAACTCAGGAAAGTAATCTAACTGATCAAGAAATTTCTGCTAGGGGCAACACCAATATTAAATCATCAAAGGTAAAAAAAAAAAAAAATCTACAGCCTCATTATCAGGGCGAAGTGAACAAAAACAACTTGAAAAACACCCTCATTTACCCGATGAACAAAGAAGAACAAATACCATAAAATGGGATTTAATAAATGAATGATCAAACTCAGTGTTACTGAAGCTGGGCAACATTTGGTGGTTGAAATGTGGTTGGCATTATGTAAGAACTCACACTATCCCTGCCCTCTGACCCAGGCACTGCTTTGAGGGAGTATGCCCATAAAATAATAACCCAAAGCAAAAAGAGTTACTTATACAAAGATGTCATAGCTCTCCTTTTATCCAGCAGGTATATTTTGAAAGCCTTCCATTTGCCAGGGGTTGAGCTAAGCACTAGAGATAGGATACAAGACCCAGGCCTCGCTTTGAAGTGTCCACAGTCAGGTCTTAAGAAGTTGGGCAAGCAATTGTCTTGAACTAAGGTAGTAATGGTGCAAATGAAGAGGAGCAAAGGGATTTGAGAAATCTTTGAAAGTTGAATGACCCATGAGGGAGGATGAAAAAGGGGAAAATATAATCACATAGTACATATGATTTAAAAACAGCTCAGGGGCACCTGGGTGGCTCAGTCAGTTGGGTGTCCCAACTCTTGATTTTGCTTAAGTCATGATCTCAGGTTGGGAAGATCAAACCCCACTTCGGGCTCTATGCTCAGCTCAGAGTCTGCTTAAAATTCTCTCTCTCCCTCCCCCTTGGCCTTTTCCCCCCGCAGAAAAAAAAGACAAAGAAAATGTATTTAAACTAGCATTGTCAGCTTATGAAAACATATGTCTGGGAAATTATCAACTATTTTTGTTCAAGAAAGAAGCTTACTTCTCTGTGTCATCTCTCCAGAAATAAAATGGACAAATTACTATTTTGTTTTCTTTTTGTAGAATTAAAATTTTAGAGATGTTTAGCACTCACAATCTCCAGTCTGTGTTCTCTCGGCTCATTGAGCCTCCGCACACTGACTCTCTCCGCGCCTCAAAAATACGATTACGAGACTTAGGAGCATTAACTCCAGATGAAAAGCTGACCCCCCTAGGGTATCACTTGGCCTCTCTGCCCGTGGATGTGAGAATCGGCAAACTGATGCTGTTTGGGTCTATCTTCCGCTGTCTGGATCCTGCCCTCACCATTGCTGCCAGTTTGGCTTTTAAGTCTCCTTTTGTAAGTAAACACCATTCATCTAAACTGGAGTCCACGGGTCTCTAAGGGGACCATGGGGGCTTCAGGGTTATGTGAGCCTCCCCACACGTTTTCTTGTGAGGACGATAGATGGGAAGTCTTAGGTCACAATGTCTATAACTTGTCTGATCCTTAAAGAAATCCATGCCTCAAATGAAGGTTAAGAACTGAAGATCCAATTTACTGAAAGAATCTAAATGGGCGTTTTATTGTATCTGCTCCAACCTTGCGCATTAAAGAAAAATCAGAAAATGCAAGCAAGCAAAAGTGCCCCAGCATGACTTTAAAAGGCAGTAAATACATTGGACTGCTTTTTTTTTAAACAGCTTTCTTAAAATACAATTTGCCCATTTAAGTTATACCTCCAGTAGTTTTTAGTTTATGTGGTCCTCATCATGGTCAGTTTTAGAACATTTTTATTACCTCATAAAGAAACCCCTTAGCAGCCATTCCCCTTTCCCTCTCTCTCATCCTCTGTAGCCCTGGGCGACCACCTGTTGGCTTTCTGTCTTCATAGATTTACCTCTTCCAGACGTTTCATATTAACGAAATAATACATGGTCTTTTGTGACTGGATTCTTCACTTAGTATAATGCTTCTAAGATCATCTGTGTTGTAGCATAAACAGTACTTCGTTCTTTGCCTAATAATATTCCTTCGAATGGACGTGCCCCATATTGTTTTTCTGTCCGCACTGGATGGACATTTGCTGGTAAACACTGATGTACAAGTTTTTAATGTAGACAAATGTTTTTATTGGTCTTGGGTACATACCTAGGAGTAAAATTACTAGATCAAATGGTAACTCTATATTGAACTTTCTGAAGAACTTCCAGTTCTTTTCCCAGAGTAGCTGCACATTACATTCCACCAGCCAGGGTTGCAGTTTCTCCCCATCTTCACCAACACTTGTTATTATCTGACTTTTTTAACTATAATCTTCCTAGGGGGTGTGAATTTGTAGTTTCGACTTGTGTTTCTCTAATGGCTAATGATAGTAAACATCTTTTCATTTGCCTGTTTGCCATTTGTATATCTTCTTGCAAGGAATGTCTATTCAGATCCTTTGCCCACTTTTTAACTGGGTTATTCATGTTTTTATTACTGATTTGTTAGGGTTGTTTATATATTCTGGAAACAGGTCAGAGAGAAATACGATTTGCATGTATTTTCTCCCATTCCGTGGGTTACCCTTTTCACTTTCTTAATATGTCCTTTGAAACACGGAAGTGTTTAATTTTGATGAAGTCCTGTTTATCCAGTTTTTTGTTCCTTGAGCTTCCATTGTCATAGTTAAGAATCCTAAAAAAAAATACAAAATACCAAAAAAGACTCCATTGCCAAAATAGCTGAAGGGGACTGGAAGCTTCCATTTACAGAATAAGTCTTGGGAATAAAAGGCACAGCACAAAGACTATAGTCAACAATATTGTAACAGTGTTGTATGATGACAGGTGGTAGCTACATTTGTGGTGAGCATAGCATAAGGTATCAATTATTGACTTGTCAAATCGCTATGTTGTATACCTAAAACTAATATAACACTGTGTGTCAACTACACTCAAAAAAAATCCATTGCCAGATCCAAAGTTATGAAGATTTATCCCATTTATCCCTATGTTTTTTTTCTAAGGCTTATAGTTTCATTTTTACTTATTTTTTAGCAGGGGGTAGCATCAGAGGGAGAGGGAGAATCTTAAGCAGACTCCACGCTCAGCGTGGAGCCTGACGTGGGGCTCGATCTCACAACCCTGAGATTGTGACCTGAGCTGAAATCAAGAATAGGATGCTTAACCAACTGAGCCACCCGGGTGCCCCCTTAGGAGTGTTATAGTTTTTGCTCTTACATTATGGCCTTTGGTCTATTTTGAGTTAATTTTTGTAAATTGCATGAGATAAGAGATAAGAATCCAACTTCATTCTTTTGCATATGACTATTCAAGCATCCCAGTACCATTTGTTGAAAAGACTATTCTTTCGCCATTGAATGGTCTTGGCATTCTTGTCAAAATTCATGAGGCGCCTGGCTGGCTCAGTCTGTATAGCATGCAACTCTTGATCTTGGAGTTGTAAGTTCTTTGAACCCCACATTGGGTGTAGAGATTATTTAAAAATAAATTCTTCAAGAATAAAAAGAAAGAAAGAAAGAAAGAAAGAAAGAAAGAAAGAAAGAAAGAAAGAAAGGCCTCAGTAAAATGTGCTCTTCAAACCTGGTTTTCCTCCTTTAGGTGTCTCCCTGGGATAAAAAAGAGGAAGCTAACCAGAAAAAGCTAGAATTTGCATATGCAAACAGCGACTATCTGGCTCTTCTACGAGCATATAAGGTAAGTGTATATATATATATATATTATACATATATATATATATATTCTGGTCATATACCTCAACTATTATATATATAATTATATATTGCATATTATATTAAAATATATAATATTTTCTTATATAAAGGAATTATATATATAATATATAAATAAAATATATAATTATATATAATATATATATTCTGGTCATACATCTCAGCTATTAAGTTATATATAGATATATATACATATAACTGTATATTTATGTGTACATATAACTATGTATATGTATACATATATATCTGTGTGTGTGTACACACACACACACACAACTTAATAGCTGAGGTGTATGACCAGAATTGGCACTAAAGAGTCAGTTCACTTTTATTTTCTTCCAAATTTAGGGATGGCAGCTAAGTACAAAAGAAGGAATGCGTGCAAGTTACAATTACTGCAGACAGAACTTCTTGTCTGGAAGAGTTCTTCAGGTGAGTTGTTTCTATGCAGGTTTGTTTTTGTTCATTTTCTGTTATAGCCCCACGCCAGAGGGTGTTGCAACTTTGTCTCCCTGCTTCAACATTGAAAGTGTCATTTCTGGAATATGCTTGGCTTTATCAGCTGTTGTATAAAACACACTCCTGTTTTACATCCTCTGACCTGAGGCCTTCTGCACTGAACCTTTCAACTGACCCACTTTTCCTCTTTTCAGTGAATCTGTGCTTACTTAATGTGGAGGTTAGAAGAATACAGACACGGTGATGATTGCTGCTCACCAGATGTCAGTTTTTTTAGGAATTCTACCAAGCATTCTATTTTTTTTTAAGATTTATTTATTTGAGAGACAGAGATCACAACTAGGCAGAGAAGCAGGCAGAGAGAGAGGAGGAAGCAGGTTCCCTGCTAAGCAGAGAGCCCGATGCGGGGCTCGATCCCAGAACCCTGGGATCATGACCTGAGCCAAAGGCAGAGGCTTTAACCCACTGAGCCACCCAGGCACCCCTCTACCAAGGATTCTTAATCTGGATCTATAAACCCCTGAAATTATATGCAAAATCATATGCTTATACATATGTGCTTTACTCTGGAGAGAGGGACCATCATATTCTCAGAGCGGTCTGTGACCATCACCAAACTCCTTACTTTCTCCACAAAACCAGAGAATGAGTACTGAACCAGGTTTTATTCATTTTCCTTATGTCTGTCAGAGGCTGAGATGTCAATAATGAGTGCACAGAAAAAGCAGGTTTCTTATCTTCTGGGCCGTAGTGGAGAGGGCTCTGTCCTCTGTTGTGACAGTGTTGTAGGTGCCTTCCACAGTGGTAGAAGAAGCCAGAATACTGGCGGTACCCATCTTTACAAAGCATCTGTTTTCCTCAGAGATTTTCAGCCTGGGTAAGGGGAAGGACTTTGATTTCGTATTAAAAGATGTCCTGGAGTAGAATACAAAATTAATGTCCTTAGTGCTTACCACTACCTGACATTTATTTATTTATCTATCTAAACTGTCTATCCCAGAAGCTCCCTCAGAGCAGAGATCTTGCCACATTTTTTGACACTGTAGCCCGAGTGCCCGGAACAGTGTTTAGCACACAGTTGTCACTCAGTCAAGATCGATAGAAGAAGTGCAGAAGTGAATGAATGTGGTTATTAAAATGAAGACTTCAAATCCTGCTCTTCACCTTCGTTCTCGTCTGCCTTGAGGTGTACTACCCTGAGGCATCGCAAGAGGACACAGGCTCTAGCTTTGTCCTCAGGACACCAAAAACAGTAACTTTCAGTCCTGGCTGCACATTAGATTTACCTGAGGAGGCTTAACAAAATAAATGAATAAAAATGCCCAGTTCCCCTCCAGGCAGTACATCTGGATCTCTGTGAATGGGGCCTGAACATCTGTGTATTGCCGTCGTTGGGTGCACCAAGGGATTCTAGTATGCAGCCAGGCTTGAGAACCCCTGGTCTGGAGGGTATGTTATGTGGAAGGTGCAGTCGCAGATATGTCCTCAAGTTATTAATATTTAAGTGTAAAATGATATTTCCTTCAAATTACATTTCCTGTGAAACGTATTCATTTTCTTCAGGATGTATGTACATTTTGCTGTGATCTGAAATGTCCATCAGAGTTCCCTCTTCTCACTAAAGAGAGTAAGATTTATCAACGAAAACCTTGTCATAATAGAGAAGTCCTAGCTATATTTTGCCATGTTATCCATGTGTACGTGAGGCATTTCAAGAAAATACTTAAGCTGTCATCAAGAGACAGGAGAGTATTGCATGGCTCACAGTTCCTTCGACTGTCCTTACCGCCTTCTCTATCTTCTGATACTCTATTTGAAGTATGGCCAGAAGAGAAAGAGTTCTGTTCCTTTCTTTTTCACACTTGTGCTCAGCTACACAAAGTGGTATTATGTGATCCAAATCCAAACCACATAATAATGTCCTTATTCCTAGGAAGAGATGTGAGCCAGAGAGATCACAAGGTAATAGAAAGTAAGTTCTGAACTGGGTGTTCTGCATCCATTGAGAAAGAACACTAACCATTCTAGGCTCCAGGGAGAAGCTAAGGGGACCAGAGCAGAAATGTAAGTAGGAAAAACTAGACAATGTCACAGCACCTTAAGTTGGGGGTCCAAAGTAAACTATATTTTTTTGCTGTTCTAAGGATTGCCAGAGAAGTCAGACCTACCCCAAATCCAATGAATGAGTTTTTAAAGGGGGAAAAAAAAGTGTTGTTTTTTTTTCCCCACTTCTTTCAGGAAATGGCCAGCCTCAAACGACAATTCACTGAACTGTTATCAGATATAGGCTTTGTAAAGGAGGGACTCAGAGCAAGGGAAATTGAGAAAAGAGCCCAAGGAGGAGATGGTATCTTGGACGCCACAGGAGAAGAGGTAACGAATGTGTAGTTAGTTCTTTTATTTATCTTTAATTAGTACACAGATAGTATATTAACTCACTTAATATTTCATATAAGCCCTCTGAGCAGTGGGCTTGATGCCATTCTTGATTTTCTTTCCACAAATAAGTATCAGGTAACACTCCTAAAAACAGGAGGGCTAAATTCTGTTAATTTTTCTACTTTTTTTTTTTAATTTCACACATGTTCTTTTTTTTTTTTTTTAAGGTTTATTTATGTATTTGATAGAAAGAAAGAGCGGGGGCATAGAAGCGGGAGGGGCAGAGGGAGAGGGATAGAGAAACTCAAGAAGACTTCAAGCTGAGCACAGAGCCTGATGCAGGGCTCGATCCCACCTCGACCTGAGCTGAAACCAAGAGTCGGATGCTTAACCAACTGCACCACCAGGTGTCCCCACACCGGTTCTTGATAAGCCTATAAGAGGTGAAATAGATGTTTCAATAATGTCTTCTTAAATCACACCAGCCTTTTTCCAACCGGGGATAGTTTTTTTTTTATATGACCACAGGAAGAACGCCTCTTCAAGAAGAACCTGATGCTGCTCTGTTCCCAGTGCAGTTAGTACTTTCTGCAGATCATGAGCATCTTGGCCTGAGCCTTGGGCACACTGGCTTTGTAACTGCTTTGCAGGGACCCAGAGCTACTGTGGGCTTCTTGGAGTACATCCTATGTGAATATGGTCCAGTAGTCTTACTTTTCACTTAGAAAGAAGGAATTTTTCTAGCAAAAATATAGAAACTAGGTATTTTAGTTTTGTTTTAAGACCGAAATCAAATGAAATATAATGGTAAATTCCAGGGTACAAACAGAGGTAGCCACATTACTGATAAGATCAATGCTGTCTTTCTCTCATAGGCAAACTCCAATGCTGAGAATCCCAAGCTGATATCAGCAATGCTGTGTGCTGCTCTTTATCCAAATGTAGTGCAGGTAACAAACATTTTTCCTAGGTTCTCCCACTTCTTGTTTGATCTGTAGCCAAGGGACATAAGCTAAGACATACACATTAACCATGTTAAAGAGACACCTACAAAGACGCACAGAGCCTTTTAAACTTTGTATACATTTCCAGTCCTTCAGTTCCCCAAATCTGTTCAGATACATTGTTCAAGAACACATTTATTTTATAAAATGAGGTGCCTTTTTAATCCTTCTGACATATTATGATGTTCTAAAAATTTAAATGGACATAAATGTCACCCAGCCGGGTAACCTGTGCATAACTAGCCTTCTATATTAGACAGAAGTTTGGTTCTACTACAGTTTCTCCTCTGGCCTCTGCTCAGGACTGCAGTTAGATGAGAACAAAATCAAACGAGCCAGGGCTCTGCTGTGGGACCACCTATGGCCAGCCTTCTGGAATACCCTCCTCTATGTGCTATTGGACTTTTACCTAAGTTTTAATTATCCAATCCTTGCCAAACCTAGAAAGACTAAGAGTTTGTCTGAGTGCTAAATTGTTTCTCATTTAACATTTTGTTAAATGCTCAGTTGACATCTGCTGATGAATTTCTGGTACAGAGATTCAGTACTTGCATGCTTTTCAAACCATTTGAACTTTATTTTAAAAAACCATTTGAAACAAAAGTATGGAGATAGAGAAAAAAAAAAAGCAAAACCAAGGACTGGGAAGAATAAAGCAGGCAGAGCATAAACTTTTAGGGCAGTGAAAAGATTCTGTATGATACCATTGTAATAGGTGCACATCATTTACATTTACACAAACCCATAGAATATACACGACCAAGAGCGAACCCTAAGGTAAACTACGGGCTTTGGGTGATTATGATGTGACACAGGTTTTTAAAAATTATAATACTCGTGCTGTCAGAAGCCCTCCACAATGAACCCTGTCACTCTTAGTGGGAGTATAAATTGATACACCCATTCTAGATTTCATTTCTGAGGACTGATTTGTTAGGAAATAATTACAGATATGCATAAAGGTACAGCAAAGCAAATGTTCATTCTAGTTCTGTTTATAATTGCAAACAGTCTGAAGTACCAATAAGAGGGAATTTATTAGCGAAATTTATTTTAGATCTTTATAACTAGGTCAGCCATTTAGAATTGTGTTTTAAGAAAATATTTAACAACGTGGAAAGATGTTCTCAATGTATTAAGTTTAAAAAGTAGATTGGAGAAAATGATCCTACATTAGTTTCAATGCGTGTATATTTTTATGTCATACATTTATAGTTTCTCTGTTTCTGTATATAAACAAATCTAGGACTAAAAACTAAAATGTTTATCAAATATAGTGCTAATTATTTCTTAATTGTGTGATTACAGGATATCATTATTTTCTTCTTCTTTCCTAATACTTGCATGGAAAAAAAATATGTGTGTGTGTGTGTGTGTGTGTGTGTGTGTAATTATCCGCTCCCCCCCCGCCCCCGCCAAAAATACCTGTTGTTTAGGTGAAAAGCCCAGAAGGGAAATTGCAGAAGACCAGTGCCGGAGCTGTCAGAATGCAACCCAAAGCAGAGGAGTTGAAGTTTGTCACCAAGAACGATGGCTACGTGCACATCCACCCTTCGTCAGTGAACTATCAGGTCGGAATGGTGGGGTACACCTGCATTTACATATGGCAGGCCTCACGGAGAGCAGCACAGTCCCTTCAAGTCAGCCCAACCTCCTTCCATCATTCTCTGTCCCGGCAGCACCACTGACTTGGGGAAGGTTGAATAAGCATGAATAGACTAGAAATCGGACTGTCTGGGGAAAGACTATTTCCATGTTAAGAAAATTCTACGGGATACTGAGAAAATGCTCAAACCCGCTTTCAGATGTATAATTGCTTCTCTACAGCAGTCATTTCTTAAGAAGTCAGGCTGTAACTGCATCACTAAATGTGTGTCTTAAAGGGAACGGCCTGAACTTGCCGATGGCGCCTCCTGGGTGCTTCTTCCTCCTGCTGCTGCCGCTGCGGGGCTGCGCTCCCACTGCTCTGCTCAACTCACCACAGGTTACACATGGCCTCCTAGTTGTCAAACCCAGAGAACACATTCTCTCCCCCTGGTCCTCATCAAACTTGACTCTTGCGTAGTATTAGACAGCACTAACCTCCTGTCCTGAAACCATCTTTTTTTTTTTTTTTTAAGATTATTTATTTATTTATTTGACAGAGAGAGACACAGTGAGAGAGGGAACACAAGCAGGGAGAGTGGGAGAGGGAGAAGCAGGCTTCCTGCTGAGCAGGGAGCCCAATGTGGGGCTCGATCCCAGGACCCTGGGATCATGACCCGAGCTGAAGGCAGACGCTTAACAACTGAGCCACCCAGGCACCCATGAAACTATCTTTGATATGGTTTTGCTCCTGAAATGCCACTTTCTTCTTTCTCTCTCTCTCTCTCTCTCTGATCATCCCCGACACTTCTTTGACTAGTTTCTCTTCCTTCGCTCCGAAATTGTGGTTCTGTCCGTAGGCCTCCTTTTCTCCATATGTTCCAGTTTACTCTTCCCAAACCTTCAGGGCATTGTGATTCGGATTGCCACCTCCATGCTGTCACAGAGCCCCAGATCCCTGTCTCAGGGCCTGGGCTTCTTCTGAGCGCTCCTGCTGGAGCTCACCAGCCGGATGCCTGGCAGTCACCTCAGACTCATTATCTTCCTCTTTCCTCTTCTCTTCTCTTCTTCCCTGTCTCAGTGAATGGCACCATCCCAGTCAGAGCCCTGCGGTCACAGGGTCCCTGCCACTCTTCTCCTTACTCCAGTCCATTTGGACCGCAGGTCCCAGCAGTTACACCTTCCGACACTCTTGGATGGGCCTACTCCTTTTCTTCCCACCATCCCTTCCTCAGTTCAAACCCCAACATCTGTCTCCTGCCTAAAGTGCTATCACGATCTGACTTTTAGTCCTTTCTCTGGGTCCTGCTGCCAAAATTAACTTTGCAAAACACACATTCAGTCATGCCATTCCCTGGCTTAGAACTCTTCCTGTGTGGAATCTCCTGCAAATGCTCCTGGGACCCTGCGTGCCTGCCCCTCCTGTACCATGTCCCCCACCGCTCCTCCCTCAGTCCTTCTGTGTGCCATGACGTTGGACACACTTCCTCAGGATCTGGAATGACATTCTCATTCTCAGCAGGCTCCTAGCCTTTGAGCTTCCATGAGGAAGCTCTCCCTCAAAGTTGCTTTTTACTTCCGGTTCTGCCATCGTGCGGCATGCATTTTATCCACTGTTGTGTTTATCACATTATTTTATGGTTTATGGTACATTTCCTTCGTGGAATTGTGAAATTCCTAAAGACAGGAATTGTATGTCTGCATTTTTATATTCTCGATGTCTAGCATGGTGCCTAACGTAAAGCAGATGCTCAATAAAACTTCGAGGGGAGATGGAACAAAAGAGGACAGGAGGACGGAGGAAAAGAATTTGAAGTGTTAGGACTGGTCAGCCCCATGCAACTACTGAGTAACATGTCTGCAAAGCATGAAAAGGGTCTCCTTAAAGCCCAGAAGAATTTGAGGTCTGGGAGGTCATCTGGTCTCTCAGCCGCACATGTACTTAGGAGCTAGAGGTCTGAGTTAGCTCCACTCCTCTTCCAAGGTTACCATGGCATTCATGCCATGAATCCAAACTATTCATGCATCTGTTCAGTGTCTACTAGCGACTCCTCTGTGCCAAGCACTGTGGCAGGCTGTGGAAGACAGTGGATGAACTAGACAGACAAGGGCTCTATCCTCAGGGAGCTTCTGTTCTGCTGAGGAAGACAGGCAAGAAACAAGTAAACAGATCATCTCAAGTCAGTGACAAATGCTACTAAAAGAAATAGAATAAGAGGTTGAGAGTGACAGGAGAGGGGCCATTTTGCTGAGTGGTCAGGGAAGAGCTCTCTGAGGAGAAAACTGAGCAGATCCTAAATGCAGTGAAGGCCGAGCCATGGAGATATCTAAGGAGAGAACATTCCAGCAGAGGAAATGAAGAGGGAGGCACACTGGCGTGCTGGCGGGAGGTGGGGGAGGTGGGGGACGCAGGCCAACGGCCAGGACAGGCAGAGTGGGACATGAGGAGCCAGAAGAGCAGCTGTGCTGGGACAAGCAGGCAGGGCCAGGTCACGTGGGCCATGGTACAGGCCGTGGTAAGGATCTGAGGTTTTCTTCTTAGTCCCCGGAGGGTTTTGAGCATACCTTTTTAAGGGATCACGGTGGCTGCTGGGTGGGAAAGAGACTGAAGAGGGAAAGCAGAAGGCTAGCGAGCACGAAGGAAGCCACAGAGGTGGTCTGGGGAGTCGGTAATGCTCCGAGCTGAGGTGGTCACTATCACAGTGGGGAGAATATGTCAGTTCCTTATGTTTTTAGAAAATAGAACCGACAGGACCTCATGATAATTTTGATGGAGGGGAAAGAACAGTTGAGGATGGCTTCTAATTTGGGACGTGAGCTGCGAGGTGAATGGGACAATCATGTCCTGAGCGGGAGGGGAATACTGTCAGGAGGGGAACATCAAGAATTCCTTTTGAACGTGGTACTTCTTAGGTATCCAGGGTGAGGCGCCAGGAAGGCAGTCGCATGTGGAAGCCTGGCCTTAGGGGACAGGTACCGGCTGGAGAGAACTAGGGGAGTCGTTCACGGACAGGTGGTGCTTCAGTGTGTGGAAGGGGGGGTTCCCCTCCGGCTGACTGTCATCATCTGAGGTTTTCTGTTCCAGGTCAGACACTTTGACAGCCCCTACCTGGTGTACCATGAAAAGATCAAAACTAGTCGGGTGTTCATTCGAGACTGCAGTGTGGTGTCTGTGTACCCACTGGTCCTGTTCGGGGGAGGCCAAGTGAGCGTGCAGCTTCAGAGAGGGGAGTTTATTGTGTCCTTGGATGACGGTTGGATCCGTTTTGCAGCTGCTTCGCATCAGGTAAGGGCTAGTGGGCCTGTCTGTGAGGCGTGGGCCCTGAGGGGCTTTGTGCTGTGAAGTAGAGGGCATTCCTTCAGGGGCCGAGGACGACAGAGCTTAGGAAGAGTGAACGATGAGAGGGGCGGTGGGACACGGAGAGCGACCGAGGCTAGACAGAGGCCGGAGCTAGAGGCTCAGTGAGAGACTGGGAAGTGCATGGGGAGGGGAGCCCAGTTTGGGCTGGTGTGAAGGGTTTGGGACAGAAGCCGTGAGTGAGTTGTTGGACCTTCCTAATTGTTGTACAAATAACACATGTTCACCAAAGAAAAACCAGAAAATGTAGATGAGCAAAAATAAACAAAAATCACCCTGATTCTACCACTACCATTAAGGAAAAAGTAAAGGTAACGGGTCTGAATTCTTTTATTCTCAGGTCTCACATATTCACTGTTGGAATCTCTGCAGAAACATTTAAGGAGGAATATATGTTTAGGAAATAAAAATTCATTTTAACATTTGCATCTGGTAGAAAGGTAGCAAGAAGCAGAAACACCGACTCAAACATTCATGTGAATTTATTGGCACATTTAACTGTAAAGTCTAAAGCAGCATAGTCCAATAAAAATATGTGAGCCATATATATAATTTGTTTTTCTAGTAGCCACATGTAAAAAATAGGTGAAACTAATCTTAATTTTATTTAATGTAATACAGCTAAAAAGTTTTAATTTCAACATGTAATCAGTATAAGAATTTATTGAGATATTTTATACTGGGTTTTTATACTAAATCTTTAAAATCTGGGTGTACTTTACACTCACAGCACATCTGTTCAAACTTGCCATTAGATTGGCCACATGTGACAGGTATCTGCCATCTTGCATGGAAAAGGTCTAGAAGGCCAGGCATGGTTGGTTTAATTCAGCAGCTCAAGTACGACAAAAACCTGGCTGACCTCATGGTAGCAGTGTGACTGCCATAGCTCCAGGCCTCACATCTGTGCAGCGGCAAACTATGCAGGAGTGGAGACAAGAAACTTCCTCTCCTAAATCAATTTCTCTAGCCAAAGGAATGTCATAAACTCTAAGGCCCAGATGATCTGAGTCATTCACTCTGGCAAAGCTCATGGCGTGAGCCTGTTGGAGTTAGGTTGGGGTGCAAACTGCACGGTTGCCACATGATCGGAGAGCAGCAAACCATGTTGGGAAGACCTCTCCGTGCCCACCACACAGAAGCATAAGAAAACGCCATAAAAAATGTGGAGCTATTTCTTACCATGAAAGCATCAAATGTATCCCAAAGCTACAGATTTTTTGGTTTAATGTCTAGCATTTTAAATTCTCCATTTTCCTGCTTCTCCTCTTGGAGCAAATTGTAAAAGTTGACCAGGCTTTAATTTGCAGAACACTACATAGAAGCCATTCTTCCAGATTTAATCTTTTCTTTAAATGAGATGTGCTAGAGGAGCTTTTTTATAATAGTTTTCATTTATTATATTGCAGAGCTGACATTGAGCGAATGTTCTTATAGTTGCATCAAGAAATTTTAGAAGCCCTTTAGAATAAAAATGTGTTTAGTTTCTCCTCCCCACCCCCGCATGGAGTTAAAATTACTACCGGAAATCTAGATAATGATAATCATCAGTGGGACCTTACCTTTACTAACCTTTCCTCCCCTGGTGCCCCAATCACTGCTCACATTGCAACTTTCATTTTAGGTGGCCGAATTAGTAAAGGAACTCCGTTGTGAACTTGACCAGCTCCTCCAGGATAAGATAAAAAACCCAAGCATAGATCTGTGTACATGTCCTCGAGGATCCCGGATCATCAGCATGATTGTGAAACTTGTCACCACACAATAAAGACCAGTGTCAGGAGAGTGCTTGCTATTCCCCTGCTTCTTGCTCACCTGGGAAATAACAGCAGCACCTCTCCCTCCAGGCAGGCTCCGCGCTCAGGGCTGCCCCGGTGAAGGAGCCCAGGGCAGGCACCGTGCAGGCCCTGAGGCACCGCACACCTTTAGGGAAGGTTCCCAGACTGAGTATTTCTGACAGAACAAGGACACTCCCAGCACAATTTGGAGTGTCCGTGGGAGGCAGTCGAAGAAACCGGCTTGCCTGTGTTTTTCTCTGTGACTATCCCGAAGTGAATGAAATTCACCTCATCACACAAAAGTGAATGTTTAATACGATTTGGTTTTAATCTATGTATTTTTTTTCTCCTTTTTTACTGGGGTGAGATAGGAGCATGAGGAGAAATACTGAATTTTTTCTCTATCGTAAAAGCTCATCTGAAAGAAATTAGAATAGAGGACAAAAAATCATGTAAGCAAGAAAAATTAAAATTTCATTTTAGGCTATTAGCTACGAAGTAAACTTAAACTTGATCTGTGAGGGATTTTTATTTTACTCATTAAAGGTCAGCCTTAAAAAACCTGAAGAGCTCTTATTTGTTTTTAAAGTGCAAGCTGGTTTTATCCTTACCATTCTTCTTCTTAGAAGCAGAAGAGTCTAGGTGTCTTTGTTCTGTTTTTGGATTTCCATTTAGGAATCTCTGCTCTTTCTTAGGAACACCCAGATCTAATGGCCACATTGCACATTACCCAGCGAGGAATTTTGACGGTCTTCTCAGAGCAGACTTGGCACAGTCGAGGTAGAAAAGGTTGCCATGCTAGTGTCAGATTTTCAGCCATAAAAATATCTTCCAGGAGGCTGCTTATTTTCAGCCACCACTTAGGTGAATGGAGAGCTAGCATTTTGAAAAACTATCAGTACATTGATATTTTCTCTAGGCATTTATCCGTGTGGCCAGGAAGCATCGCAGAGAGCTGAGTAGAAAAAATATTCTTACGTTTGTGTGGCGCTCGGGTAGTCACTGCAGGTTTTATACTATAGATGGAATTCAAACTAATCAGCAGAACCACCACAGTGAAGGGCGTTCACTTTTCGCAGTATTATTTCAGTTAAATTTTGAGGAAACCTTCTAGGCTGTCCAAAACGGTCATTGCCCAGCGTGTTTAAGCCTTGGCGCGCTCGAAGAGCTTAGACTCTAAGTAGTATTGTTTAAAAGGCATTAATTCACGTCATCACTTTAAATTAAAAAACACGCATATGCATAGCACCTGCAGTATTCAAATTCTGACTCGCAACGGAAACCAGGCTCACATTACAGAACTGCTCAGGAGAAATGAAGACGACCACACTAACCCTCTAAAACATCTTTTGGAACCAGTTCTGACTCTCGGTGCTACAGTGGAGCTGATGCTGGCTGCCCCCCCGCCCCCAGAGACCTCTGCCCAAGCAGACCTGCAGCTTTCCACGTGGGTTTGCAGCAGAGCACACAGCGGGGAGTAAACTGCACAACTTTCCATCCTGAGCGCTGAGAAATCGCTCCCCTCAGGGGAAGCTATCCTTGGGCTGGTTACTTGTAGCCACACACAAATGCACAACTCATTCCACAGATGTGCCAGAATGTGGAAGAGATCAGGAAGCCTTGACTGAAGACACTGAGTAAGAAAATCCTCCCTGCCAAAACCAAACTTCTTAAGCCCTAGCAGTAAAATTATGAAGTCAATGAAACAGGATGACTTCACAATTGAAGGTCAGAATGCAATATGGCATTTCACGGTGAAATCGGATTTCTAAACCCCAGCAAGATGGTCAGCACTTAATGTTCATTTTATGGAGAATTCTGTGAATGTTGTAAATGTCTGCAGTATTTGTTTCACTGGAATCTAGCTAGGGAACAATATTGGTAAAGTACTTGCTACAAAATTAGTCTGCATTGGGGTTTTGTAATCTGGGTCTATGGGGAGTTCTCAGGAAATGAGAATAGGTAAACATTCTTGCAGAGGTGGTCATAGGTTGGCAAAGCACTAGTTTTGTCTTCTTCCTCCTTGAGTTCCGTATCTGAATATTACAATTCAGACTCCCTGACAAGTAATGAACTTTGGTCTTTATCCTCCCATTCTATTATTCGGGCAGTTTAACTAATACACCAAAGCGCACACACAGCCTGTGGATCTGTATGCATATGGTAAATGTTCTTTTTCCTTTCTAGGCAGTGGTTGGAATATGTCCTTAAGAGGTTATCATAAAATAAGACCTTGTGAAAGTACTTTGTAAAATTAAAATGTAGCAAATGTAAGCAAATTGGGACCGAGGGTGTGGTTTTCTGATGTGGCCCAGGCTGGCTTTTTGAGAACGGCACTCTTGTGTTTCTCAATTGCTGGGCTGAGCTGGGGCGCTCAGGCATCTCACTTGGAGGGTGTCTTATGGGTATCACCTTGTTGCCACATAAATGAGGATCCCTGGGGGCGTGATAATTATGCTCACATTGCCATTATGCTTAAACAAGCCTAGGCACATGTTGGCTCTTTCCTCCTAAGTCATGCTAGAATTAAGCAGAATGCCTAGGGCTTATTTTCTCCCAAATGCAGGGGGAAAGTTTGCTTGAAATTTTTAGCCAGTTAATAAATACAGGGTGATCTATTGTTTTCAGAAGTTAAATTTTGATCGTGAAACTCTGTCAATACTTGAGTACCCACAGTACAGTGCCTCGGGTGGAAACAATGTAGAAACAGCTAACACGGTGTATTGTCCCAGCAATCGTTTCAGACTGTTCCAGAGTGGCAGGCTTCTTCCATTCTTTTTAAGTCTCACACGTGTAAAGCTATATAATGACTGTGTAAACTATTAATCACAATGAGGCATTAACAGGAGAGACTTTTTTCTTGCCATTTCAAAGTTAATACCCCCAAAACCATATATCAAAGAGATTGGTCTTCAGTAAGATTTATAGCCAATCACTAATCCTTAAGGTGCTTTCAAATCTTAGATGTCTTAATGATTTGCTTTGTCAAAGAGCGGAGAAAGAGTTGTGCTGGAAATCACTCGCCTGATATGAGCCACCAGGAGTAAGGGCCATCGATATTTCATAAAGATACAGGACAGCAGCCCAAACACGAACTGGTTCCCACAGACAGTTCAGCCTCTGCCCCATCTTAGCCCAACAGGGGCCATCCCCACATTTACTCCTGAGTCAGTTCCAACCCAGTGAATTGAGTAAACAAGCCAGGAGAGACCTAGGAGGAGGATGGCTTAGAATCCATTTACTGGATTTCTCCATCTGTATTCCAACTTTTTAGGAAAGAAACAAATTGCAACAAAAGACAGTATGAGGGGTTGGTTTGAAAAAGCTGCTTCCCAGGGACAGCTGGGGGCTCATGTCTCATTCTTGATTTTGGCTCTGGTCACGATCTCAGTGTGGTGATATCGAGCCCCACATTGGGCACTGTGATCAGCAAAGTCTGCTTGAGATTCTCCCCCTCTCTCCCTCTGCCTGTGCCCCCCGCTTATGGGCTCTTTCTCTCTCAGTAAATAAATACTTTTTTTTAAAAAGGCAACTTCCCATACATACCAACAATGTATTTGAGATGATGACCCTGACATTACAAATACAATATTCCTAAATATGGTGTAATAATGTATTTAATAAACATTTTCAGCAGAAGCATTTCAAACTGAGGGGTTTTGTTATTATTATTCCTTATGCAGAAAAATGCAGTCACTGATACCTCCTCCAACCTAGGTTTTACTAAAAATGGCCTGAAGGAGGTAATTTTCCTTTCAAGTCAAATGAGCTTATTTTTATAAAGGGGAGAGTATCCCTGGCCGATTTTCTTCTACAGTGATTCAAGACAGGATAACATAGCCCAAAAGACTCATTTACTTACTGAGCGTCCCTTCTAATAAGTTTTGCCTCATTCCATCCCTAAGTTTCAAGTGTATTAGAAGTATGTGTTAACCATTCAAGTAAGACTTTATTTGTCCGTAGAGGTTGATTAACTATAATAGAGGATCTTACCATGTACAAAGGCTATAAAGAAGTTTCCTCACAGGAGCAAATGTGTATTTTGCTTGTTTTAAACCAGTGGTCCTCAACTGGAGGCAATTTCGCCCACCAAGGCCCATTTAGCAACATCTGGAGATGTTGTCACAACTGAGTGGGGATTGGGGGGTACTCCTGGCATCCAGGGGTTAGAAGCCAGAGATGCTGCTGAGTATCCTACAATGCACAGAATCTTCCTCAAACAAAAAATACCCAGTTCAAAATGTCAGTAGTGCCAAGGTGGAGAGAACCTATTTAAACAAAATGAGATAGGTGACTACTTAAAATGTCTAGCTATTAGTTACTAATCATATAAATTATGCCCACAGTTGTCTCTGAAAATTAGGCCTAAATCAACCCTAATCAACATGTACTGTGTGAATAAGAGCATAGGAGTCCATCATGTTGTTACCAAATGCAGAGTACTCAAGGTCTGAGGAAATTATATGTACCAATGGGAAAAGCTATATACAGATGGGTAGGGATACAGTTCTTTTAAAAACATGTTCTACCATTAAATTTCATTTTTGTAAATATCACATTTTGAAAATGTGAAAATAAGTTAAAATGTATTTTGAAAATACAATTAGTATGCGACACTAATACTGTTAACATTTTCCACTTGCAAAACTCAAGTTCTCACACTTAGGCCCACATTAGATATCTGAAATACACACACCCTTACTTTATCATTCTGTTATCTGAACAGAGTCCAACCTTTGGCCAATTTATATAACACCAATAGGGTTTTAAGAAGGGGGATGGGAGTATATAGCTCTATTGGTAGATAACTGTAAAATGTTGAAATCTAACATGAAGCCTAATCAGGAACTGTAATTTTTGGGTTCAGTAATCCTCCTATTGTTTGAACTGGGGAAAAAAAAAAACAAACAGTTTCTTTTAGGACTTGATTATTAGTAAGATTACCGGACTGAAAGTCAGAGATGTGTTATGATCTTCAGACAGATGTCTTTACAAATAGGGGCCATGCTAGATCATGGGCACCAAGGGACAATCCCATCTGAGGAGGAAACTAATCCATTCATTATAGACCCAGCACAAAATAATCCATAATTATAGACGTTTCTGTTAATGCCGCCCTTCTGTCTCTGAAATTCACCTGTGCACTTTCCCATTTAAACTCCAGCTGTCCCCATTATTTCTGGCCCATAACTCTTTATGCCATCCTTTCCACAGTAAGCATGGCTAAGACGGATTAATTGAAGCATGCAATCTGATTAGTTAACAAGGAGGCTGATTGTCCAGTTTATAACTAATGTGTGCTACGTGGCTAGTTTGAGACCCATTTTGGGGTTGCAGAAATTCCTCCCACATTTATGCTCTTAATTTCAACATAACCAACATTTGAAGCAGGTGCTATGTGCCGGCCACCCTAGGAACTCAGGATACAAAGATAAACTAGGACACCGGAAAGAGGACAATAGAGGAATAAAGTTTACTTGAATAAATTCTATCAGGAGCATAATTTACCCCCAGCCTTTGAAGGTTTTAAAGAAATTAGATCCCTATATGTTGAAATTAAAACAAAGGATACTAATGGCTTTGACCAAGTCTTAATTCTGCTTTTTAAGGATCTCATCTCATTCAGCAATTAGATGTGCTTTTTTTTTTAAAGATTTTATTAATTTACTTGAGAGAGCAAGTGAGAGAGAGTGAGCATGAGTGTGGGGGAGGGGCAAAGGGAGCGGAGAGTGACAAGCAGACTCCCTGCTGAGCAGGGAGCCCAATGTGGGGCTTGACCCGAGAGTCCTGGTATCATGACCTGAGCTGAAGGCAGATTTTTTTTTTTAAGACCTTATTTATTTGACATAGCAAGAGAGCACAAGCAAGGGGAGCAGCAGAGGAAAAAGCTGGCTCCCCGCTAAGCAGGAAGCCTGACTCAGGGTCCGACCCCAGGACCCTGGGATCGTGACCCACTGTATTTGGAAGGCACCTGGGTGGCTCACTTGGTTAAGTGCCTAACTCTTGGCTTCAGTTCAGGTCATGGTTTCATGGGTCATTGGAAGGAGCCCCACCTTGGGCTCCGTGCTTAGAAGGAAGTCTGTTTGACAGTCTCTCCCTCTGTCCCTCCCCTCAATCACACATGTGCTCTCAAATAAACTCTAAAAATTAAAAAATAAAACATTAGAAAATCTATGTGACCTTAAATTAGGCAGAGTTCTTACCCACAAACACCAAAAGCATGAACCATAACAGAAAAAAAATTGGTAAATCAATTTCTTAAACTTCTGCAGCTCAAAAACATCATTAAGAAAATCCAAGACAAGCCACAGACTGGGAGGAAGTATTTGCAAATTATATTTCGGTAAAGTACTTGTATCTAGAATATATTAAGACTTCTTAGAACTTGGGTGCCTGAATGGCTCAGTTGGTTAAGAGACTGCCTTCAGCTCAGGTCATGATCCTGGAGTCCCAGGATCAAGTCCTGCATCAGGATCCCTGCTCAGCATGGAGTCTGCTTCTCCCTCTGACCCTTCCCTCTCATGCTCTCTCTCTCATTCTCTCTCTAAAATAAAATCTTAAAAAAAAAAAATGACTTCTTAGAACTCAAGTAGACAACTCAGTTTTAAAAATGGGCAAAATACTTGAGTAAACATTTCACCAAGTATACTACAGATGGCTTAAGAAGCCCATGAAAAGATGTTCAACATCATTAGTCATCAGAGAAATGCAAATGAAATATTACTTCATAGCCTCTAGAATCACAGTACCACGTACTGATAAGGGGTCAGAGAAAATTAGAGCCTTCATACATTGCTGATGGAATGTAAAATGGTGCAGCCACATCAGAAAATAGCTTGAGTTTCTTAAAAAGTTAGACATAATTTATCACGTAATCCAGTAACTCCAGGGGCACCTGGGTGGCTCAGTGGGTTAAAGCCTCTGCCTTTGGCACAGGTCATGATCCCAGGGTCCTGGGATCGAGCCCCGCATCGGGCTCTCTGCTCAGGAGGGAGCCTGCTTCCCCCTCTCTGTCTCTGCCCGCCTCTCTGCCCACTTGTGATCTCTGTCAAATAAATAAATAAAATCTTTAAAAAATATATTTTTTTAAATCCAGCAACTCCACGTGTAGGTATTTCACATAAGAGAAATGGAAATCTGTGTGCATACAGAGACCTCTCACAAGTGTTCACAGCAGCATTATCCACAGTAGCCCCAAACTGGGAACAACCCAAATATCCATGGTGAATGAATAAACAAAAAGGAGTATATTCACCATGGAGTATTATTCAGTAATAAAAAGGAGCCTGTGCTACATGCTACACGGATGAACTTCAAAAACCTAACGCTAGGTGAAAGAAGCCAGACGTGAAGACCAAATACGGTGTGATCGCATTTATACGAACAGAACCGTCAACCCCACAAATACGGAAAGATTACTGGTCGCCTGGGACTGAGGGTGGGAATGGGAATTCACTGCGAATGAGATACAGAATCTTGTGGGGATGGAAATGTTTAAAAAATAAAGGATTGCGGTGCTGGTTGCACAACTCTGTCAATTTACTAAAGATCACTGAATTATAGGCTTCAAGTGGATGAATTTTATAATAATACCTCAATAAAGTTTTTTAAAAATATGTTGAGCAACCAATAATACATTATATGTTAATAAAAAATAAAAATCCTGGAGCGCCTGGGTGGTTCAGTTAAGTGTCTGACTCTTGGGTTTCAGCTCAGGTCACGATCTCAGGGTCGTGAGATTGAGCCCCAAATGGGAACCTGCTCTGGGCATGGAACCTGCTTAACATTCTCTCTCCAGGATGCCTGGGTGGCTCAGTCCGTTAATTGCCTGCCTTTGGTTCAGGTCATGATTCCAGGGTCCTGGGACCAAGACCCTGCTTTTCCCTCTGCCTCTTCCCCTGCTTGTGCTCTCTCTCGTGACAAATAAATAAAACCTTCATTTAAAAATGTGCATACTGGGGCGCCTGGGTGGCTCAGTGGGTTAAAGCCTCTGCCTTCGGCTCAGGTCATGATCCCAGGGTCCTGGGATCAAGCCCCACATCGGGCTATCTGCTCGGCAGGGAGCCTGCTTCCCTTCCTCTCTCTCTGCCTGCCTCTCTGCCTACTTGTGATCTCTGTCAAATAAATAAATAAAATCTTTTTAAACAATAAAATTTTTAAAAAATTTTTAAAAAGTTGGGTGTCTAGCTGACTCAGTCAGTAGAGCATCTGACTCTTGATCTCAAGGTTGTTGAGTTATAGCCCCATGTTGGGTATAGAGATTATTTAAAATCTTTACAAAACTAAATAAAGATTTATTGTAAGATACCTTTAATTTAAAAAAAAATAGGCACATGACTGGCTCAGTCAGAAGAGTATGTGACTCTTGATCTTGAGGTCATGAATTGAAACCCCATTCTGGGCATAGCAATGACTAAAAAAATACTTTAAAAAAAAGTCACTTTATAGAGAAACTTGATAAACACCACCTTCACCAAGTGATCATAGTTAACATCATGAGAAATGGAACAAATCAATACTATGTGCCTCCTGATATGATGCATCGAGAATATTATCATTTCCAGGGTATCCCTACCCAAAAGAACCCTATCAAACTAGAACAAAAGGAAACATCAGACAAACTCAAATTGAGGATTATTCCACAAAATAAATGTCAATGTCCTAAAAATCAAAGAAAAGACTGAGGAACTATTTCCAATTAAAGGGACATAACTGAACATGATACGTGGTTCAAATTTTAAAAATCATTTTGTGTTTTGTTTTGGGGTTTGTTTTGTTTTGTTGCAATACATGGACATGGAGACAATGTGGATAAGGTGTGTATTAAATCACAGTACTGTATCAATGTTACTATCCAGACTTTGATGACTGGTAAAAGAATGTCCTCATTTTTCCATCACATCCATGATTTACCCTCAAACAGTTCAAGGGGAGAAAATGAACACACACACACACACACACACACACACACAGAAAATACAGATGTGGTGAAATGCATTTGCTGAAAAAAGATATACGGGAATTATCTGTCTTGTTATTGCAAATTTCCTATCAATCTGAAATTACGTTAAAATAAGTTAAAAGAGGGGTGCCTGGGTGGCTCAGTGGGTTAAGCCGCTGCCTTCGGCTCAGGTCATGGTCCCAGTGTCCTGGGATCGAGCCCCGCATCGCATCGGGCTCTCTGCTCAGCAGGGAGCCTGCTTCCTCCTCAAAGAAAGAAAGAAAGAAAGAAAGAAAGAAAGAAAGAAAGAAAGAAAGAAAGGCCTCAGTAAAATGTGCTCTTCAAACCTGGTTTTCCTCCTTTAGGTGTCTCCCTGGGATAAAAAAGAGGAAGCTAACCAGAAAAAGCTAGAATTTGCATATGCAAACAGCGACTATCTGGCTCTTCTACGAGCATATAAGGTAAGTGTATATATATATATATATTATACATATATATATATATATTCTGGTCATATACCTCAACTATTATATATATAATTATATATTGCATATTATATTAAAATATATAATATTTTCTTATATAAAGGAATTATATATATAATATATAAATAAAATATATAATTATATATAATATATATATTCTGGTCATACATCTCAGCTATTAAGTTATATATAGATATATATACATATAACTGTATATTTATGTGTACATATAACTATGTATATGTATACATATATATCTGTGTGTGTGTACACACACACACACACAACTTAATAGCTGAGGTGTATGACCAGAATTGGCACTAAAGAGTCAGTTCACTTTTATTTTCTTCCAAATTTAGGGATGGCAGCTAAGTACAAAAGAAGGAATGCGTGCAAGTTACAATTACTGCAGACAGAACTTCTTGTCTGGAAGAGTTCTTCAGGTGAGTTGTTTCTATGCAGGTTTGTTTTTGTTCATTTTCTGTTATAGCCCCACGCCAGAGGGTGTTGCAACTTTGTCTCCCTGCTTCAACATTGAAAGTGTCATTTCTGGAATATGCTTGGCTTTATCAGCTGTTGTATAAAACACACTCCTGTTTTACATCCTCTGACCTGAGGCCTTCTGCACTGAACCTTTCAACTGACCCACTTTTCCTCTTTTCAGTGAATCTGTGCTTACTTAATGTGGAGGTTAGAAGAATACAGACACGGTGATGATTGCTGCTCACCAGATGTCAGTTTTTTTAGGAATTCTACCAAGCATTCTATTTTTTTTTAAGATTTATTTATTTGAGAGACAGAGATCACAACTAGGCAGAGAAGCAGGCAGAGAGAGAGGAGGAAGCAGGTTCCCTGCTAAGCAGAGAGCCCGATGCGGGGCTCGATCCCAGAACCCTGGGATCATGACCTGAGCCAAAGGCAGAGGCTTTAACCCACTGAGCCACCCAGGCACCCCTCTACCAAGGATTCTTAATCTGGATCTATAAACCCCTGAAATTATATGCAAAATCATATGCTTATACATATGTGCTTTACTCTGGAGAGAGGGACCATCATATTCTCAGAGCGGTCTGTGACCATCACCAAACTCCTTACTTTCTCCACAAAACCAGAGAATGAGTACTGAACCAGGTTTTATTCATTTTCCTTATGTCTGTCAGAGGCTGAGATGTCAATAATGAGTGCACAGAAAAAGCAGGTTTCTTATCTTCTGGGCCGTAGTGGAGAGGGCTCTGTCCTCTGTTGTGACAGTGTTGTAGGTGCCTTCCACAGTGGTAGAAGAAGCCAGAATACTGGCGGTACCCATCTTTACAAAGCATCTGTTTTCCTCAGAGATTTTCAGCCTGGGTAAGGGGAAGGACTTTGATTTCGTATTAAAAGATGTCCTGGAGTAGAATACAAAATTAATGTCCTTAGTGCTTACCACTACCTGACATTTATTTATTTATCTATCTAAACTGTCTATCCCAGAAGCTCCCTCAGAGCAGAGATCTTGCCACATTTTTTGACACTGTAGCCCGAGTGCCCGGAACAGTGTTTAGCACACAGTTGTCACTCAGTCAAGATCGATAGAAGAAGTGCAGAAGTGAATGAATGTGGTTATTAAAATGAAGACTTCAAATCCTGCTCTTCACCTTCGTTCTCGTCTGCCTTGAGGTGTACTACCCTGAGGCATCGCAAGAGGACACAGGCTCTAGCTTTGTCCTCAGGACACCAAAAACAGTAACTTTCAGTCCTGGCTGCACATTAGATTTACCTGAGGAGGCTTAACAAAATAAATGAATAAAAATGCCCAGTTCCCCTCCAGGCAGTACATCTGGATCTCTGTGAATGGGGCCTGAACATCTGTGTATTGCCGTCGTTGGGTGCACCAAGGGATTCTAGTATGCAGCCAGGCTTGAGAACCCCTGGTCTGGAGGGTATGTTATGTGGAAGGTGCAGTCGCAGATATGTCCTCAAGTTATTAATATTTAAGTGTAAAATGATATTTCCTTCAAATTACATTTCCTGTGAAACGTATTCATTTTCTTCAGGATGTATGTACATTTTGCTGTGATCTGAAATGTCCATCAGAGTTCCCTCTTCTCACTAAAGAGAGTAAGATTTATCAACGAAAACCTTGTCATAATAGAGAAGTCCTAGCTATATTTTGCCATGTTATCCATGTGTACGTGAGGCATTTCAAGAAAATACTTAAGCTGTCATCAAGAGACAGGAGAGTATTGCATGGCTCACAGTTCCTTCGACTGTCCTTACCGCCTTCTCTATCTTCTGATACTCTATTTGAAGTATGGCCAGAAGAGAAAGAGTTCTGTTCCTTTCTTTTTCACACTTGTGCTCAGCTACACAAAGTGGTATTATGTGATCCAAATCCAAACCACATAATAATGTCCTTATTCCTAGGAAGAGATGTGAGCCAGAGAGATCACAAGGTAATAGAAAGTAAGTTCTGAACTGGGTGTTCTGCATCCATTGAGAAAGAACACTAACCATTCTAGGCTCCAGGGAGAAGCTAAGGGGACCAGAGCAGAAATGTAAGTAGGAAAAACTAGACAATGTCACAGCACCTTAAGTTGGGGGTCCAAAGTAAACTATATTTTTTTGCTGTTCTAAGGATTGCCAGAGAAGTCAGACCTACCCCAAATCCAATGAATGAGTTTTTAAAGGGGGAAAAAAAAGTGTTGTTTTTTTTTCCCCACTTCTTTCAGGAAATGGCCAGCCTCAAACGACAATTCACTGAACTGTTATCAGATATAGGCTTTGTAAAGGAGGGACTCAGAGCAAGGGAAATTGAGAAAAGAGCCCAAGGAGGAGATGGTATCTTGGACGCCACAGGAGAAGAGGTAACGAATGTGTAGTTAGTTCTTTTATTTATCTTTAATTAGTACACAGATAGTATATTAACTCACTTAATATTTCATATAAGCCCTCTGAGCAGTGGGCTTGATGCCATTCTTGATTTTCTTTCCACAAATAAGTATCAGGTAACACTCCTAAAAACAGGAGGGCTAAATTCTGTTAATTTTTCTACTTTTTTTTTTTAATTTCACACATGTTCTTTTTTTTTTTTTTTAAGGTTTATTTATGTATTTGATAGAAAGAAAGAGCGGGGGCATAGAAGCGGGAGGGGCAGAGGGAGAGGGATAGAGAAACTCAAGAAGACTTCAAGCTGAGCACAGAGCCTGATGCAGGGCTCGATCCCACCTCGACCTGAGCTGAAACCAAGAGTCGGATGCTTAACCAACTGCACCACCAGGTGTCCCCACACCGGTTCTTGATAAGCCTATAAGAGGTGAAATAGATGTTTCAATAATGTCTTCTTAAATCACACCAGCCTTTTTCCAACCGGGGATAGTTTTTTTTTTATATGACCACAGGAAGAACGCCTCTTCAAGAAGAACCTGATGCTGCTCTGTTCCCAGTGCAGTTAGTACTTTCTGCAGATCATGAGCATCTTGGCCTGAGCCTTGGGCACACTGGCTTTGTAACTGCTTTGCAGGGACCCAGAGCTACTGTGGGCTTCTTGGAGTACATCCTATGTGAATATGGTCCAGTAGTCTTACTTTTCACTTAGAAAGAAGGAATTTTTCTAGCAAAAATATAGAAACTAGGTATTTTAGTTTTGTTTTAAGACCGAAATCAAATGAAATATAATGGTAAATTCCAGGGTACAAACAGAGGTAGCCACATTACTGATAAGATCAATGCTGTCTTTCTCTCATAGGCAAACTCCAATGCTGAGAATCCCAAGCTGATATCAGCAATGCTGTGTGCTGCTCTTTATCCAAATGTAGTGCAGGTAACAAACATTTTTCCTAGGTTCTCCCACTTCTTGTTTGATCTGTAGCCAAGGGACATAAGCTAAGACATACACATTAACCATGTTAAAGAGACACCTACAAAGACGCACAGAGCCTTTTAAACTTTGTATACATTTCCAGTCCTTCAGTTCCCCAAATCTGTTCAGATACATTGTTCAAGAACACATTTATTTTATAAAATGAGGTGCCTTTTTAATCCTTCTGACATATTATGATGTTCTAAAAATTTAAATGGACATAAATGTCACCCAGCCGGGTAACCTGTGCATAACTAGCCTTCTATATTAGACAGAAGTTTGGTTCTACTACAGTTTCTCCTCTGGCCTCTGCTCAGGACTGCAGTTAGATGAGAACAAAATCAAACGAGCCAGGGCTCTGCTGTGGGACCACCTATGGCCAGCCTTCTGGAATACCCTCCTCTATGTGCTATTGGACTTTTACCTAAGTTTTAATTATCCAATCCTTGCCAAACCTAGAAAGACTAAGAGTTTGTCTGAGTGCTAAATTGTTTCTCATTTAACATTTTGTTAAATGCTCAGTTGACATCTGCTGATGAATTTCTGGTACAGAGATTCAGTACTTGCATGCTTTTCAAACCATTTGAACTTTATTTTAAAAAACCATTTGAAACAAAAGTATGGAGATAGAGAAAAAAAAAAAGCAAAACCAAGGACTGGGAAGAATAAAGCAGGCAGAGCATAAACTTTTAGGGCAGTGAAAAGATTCTGTATGATACCATTGTAATAGGTGCACATCATTTACATTTACACAAACCCATAGAATATACACGACCAAGAGCGAACCCTAAGGTAAACTACGGGCTTTGGGTGATTATGATGTGACACAGGTTTTTAAAAATTATAATACTCGTGCTGTCAGAAGCCCTCCACAATGAACCCTGTCACTCTTAGTGGGAGTATAAATTGATACACCCATTCTAGATTTCATTTCTGAGGACTGATTTGTTAGGAAATAATTACAGATATGCATAAAGGTACAGCAAAGCAAATGTTCATTCTAGTTCTGTTTATAATTGCAAACAGTCTGAAGTACCAATAAGAGGGAATTTATTAGCGAAATTTATTTTAGATCTTTATAACTAGGTCAGCCATTTAGAATTGTGTTTTAAGAAAATATTTAACAACGTGGAAAGATGTTCTCAATGTATTAAGTTTAAAAAGTAGATTGGAGAAAATGATCCTACATTAGTTTCAATGCGTGTATATTTTTATGTCATACATTTATAGTTTCTCTGTTTCTGTATATAAACAAATCTAGGACTAAAAACTAAAATGTTTATCAAATATAGTGCTAATTATTTCTTAATTGTGTGATTACAGGATATCATTATTTTCTTCTTCTTTCCTAATACTTGCATGGAAAAAAAATATGTGTGTGTGTGTGTGTGTGTGTGTGTGTGTAATTATCCGCTCCCCCCCCGCCCCCGCCAAAAATACCTGTTGTTTAGGTGAAAAGCCCAGAAGGGAAATTGCAGAAGACCAGTGCCGGAGCTGTCAGAATGCAACCCAAAGCAGAGGAGTTGAAGTTTGTCACCAAGAACGATGGCTACGTGCACATCCACCCTTCGTCAGTGAACTATCAGGTCGGAATGGTGGGGTACACCTGCATTTACATATGGCAGGCCTCACGGAGAGCAGCACAGTCCCTTCAAGTCAGCCCAACCTCCTTCCATCATTCTCTGTCCCGGCAGCACCACTGACTTGGGGAAGGTTGAATAAGCATGAATAGACTAGAAATCGGACTGTCTGGGGAAAGACTATTTCCATGTTAAGAAAATTCTACGGGATACTGAGAAAATGCTCAAACCCGCTTTCAGATGTATAATTGCTTCTCTACAGCAGTCATTTCTTAAGAAGTCAGGCTGTAACTGCATCACTAAATGTGTGTCTTAAAGGGAACGGCCTGAACTTGCCGATGGCGCCTCCTGGGTGCTTCTTCCTCCTGCTGCTGCCGCTGCGGGGCTGCGCTCCCACTGCTCTGCTCAACTCACCACAGGTTACACATGGCCTCCTAGTTGTCAAACCCAGAGAACACATTCTCTCCCCCTGGTCCTCATCAAACTTGACTCTTGCGTAGTATTAGACAGCACTAACCTCCTGTCCTGAAACCATCTTTTTTTTTTTTTTTTAAGATTATTTATTTATTTATTTGACAGAGAGAGACACAGTGAGAGAGGGAACACAAGCAGGGAGAGTGGGAGAGGGAGAAGCAGGCTTCCTGCTGAGCAGGGAGCCCAATGTGGGGCTCGATCCCAGGACCCTGGGATCATGACCCGAGCTGAAGGCAGACGCTTAACAACTGAGCCACCCAGGCACCCATGAAACTATCTTTGATATGGTTTTGCTCCTGAAATGCCACTTTCTTCTTTCTCTCTCTCTCTCTCTCTCTGATCATCCCCGACACTTCTTTGACTAGTTTCTCTTCCTTCGCTCCGAAATTGTGGTTCTGTCCGTAGGCCTCCTTTTCTCCATATGTTCCAGTTTACTCTTCCCAAACCTTCAGGGCATTGTGATTCGGATTGCCACCTCCATGCTGTCACAGAGCCCCAGATCCCTGTCTCAGGGCCTGGGCTTCTTCTGAGCGCTCCTGCTGGAGCTCACCAGCCGGATGCCTGGCAGTCACCTCAGACTCATTATCTTCCTCTTTCCTCTTCTCTTCTCTTCTTCCCTGTCTCAGTGAATGGCACCATCCCAGTCAGAGCCCTGCGGTCACAGGGTCCCTGCCACTCTTCTCCTTACTCCAGTCCATTTGGACCGCAGGTCCCAGCAGTTACACCTTCCGACACTCTTGGATGGGCCTACTCCTTTTCTTCCCACCATCCCTTCCTCAGTTCAAACCCCAACATCTGTCTCCTGCCTAAAGTGCTATCACGATCTGACTTTTAGTCCTTTCTCTGGGTCCTGCTGCCAAAATTAACTTTGCAAAACACACATTCAGTCATGCCATTCCCTGGCTTAGAACTCTTCCTGTGTGGAATCTCCTGCAAATGCTCCTGGGACCCTGCGTGCCTGCCCCTCCTGTACCATGTCCCCCACCGCTCCTCCCTCAGTCCTTCTGTGTGCCATGACGTTGGACACACTTCCTCAGGATCTGGAATGACATTCTCATTCTCAGCAGGCTCCTAGCCTTTGAGCTTCCATGAGGAAGCTCTCCCTCAAAGTTGCTTTTTACTTCCGGTTCTGCCATCGTGCGGCATGCATTTTATCCACTGTTGTGTTTATCACATTATTTTATGGTTTATGGTACATTTCCTTCGTGGAATTGTGAAATTCCTAAAGACAGGAATTGTATGTCTGCATTTTTATATTCTCGATGTCTAGCATGGTGCCTAACGTAAAGCAGATGCTCAATAAAACTTCGAGGGGAGATGGAACAAAAGAGGACAGGAGGACGGAGGAAAAGAATTTGAAGTGTTAGGACTGGTCAGCCCCATGCAACTACTGAGTAACATGTCTGCAAAGCATGAAAAGGGTCTCCTTAAAGCCCAGAAGAATTTGAGGTCTGGGAGGTCATCTGGTCTCTCAGCCGCACATGTACTTAGGAGCTAGAGGTCTGAGTTAGCTCCACTCCTCTTCCAAGGTTACCATGGCATTCATGCCATGAATCCAAACTATTCATGCATCTGTTCAGTGTCTACTAGCGACTCCTCTGTGCCAAGCACTGTGGCAGGCTGTGGAAGACAGTGGATGAACTAGACAGACAAGGGCTCTATCCTCAGGGAGCTTCTGTTCTGCTGAGGAAGACAGGCAAGAAACAAGTAAACAGATCATCTCAAGTCAGTGACAAATGCTACTAAAAGAAATAGAATAAGAGGTTGAGAGTGACAGGAGAGGGGCCATTTTGCTGAGTGGTCAGGGAAGAGCTCTCTGAGGAGAAAACTGAGCAGATCCTAAATGCAGTGAAGGCCGAGCCATGGAGATATCTAAGGAGAGAACATTCCAGCAGAGGAAATGAAGAGGGAGGCACACTGGCGTGCTGGCGGGAGGTGGGGGAGGTGGGGGACGCAGGCCAACGGCCAGGACAGGCAGAGTGGGACATGAGGAGCCAGAAGAGCAGCTGTGCTGGGACAAGCAGGCAGGGCCAGGTCACGTGGGCCATGGTACAGGCCGTGGTAAGGATCTGAGGTTTTCTTCTTAGTCCCCGGAGGGTTTTGAGCATACCTTTTTAAGGGATCACGGTGGCTGCTGGGTGGGAAAGAGACTGAAGAGGGAAAGCAGAAGGCTAGCGAGCACGAAGGAAGCCACAGAGGTGGTCTGGGGAGTCGGTAATGCTCCGAGCTGAGGTGGTCACTATCACAGTGGGGAGAATATGTCAGTTCCTTATGTTTTTAGAAAATAGAACCGACAGGACCTCATGATAATTTTGATGGAGGGGAAAGAACAGTTGAGGATGGCTTCTAATTTGGGACGTGAGCTGCGAGGTGAATGGGACAATCATGTCCTGAGCGGGAGGGGAATACTGTCAGGAGGGGAACATCAAGAATTCCTTTTGAACGTGGTACTTCTTAGGTATCCAGGGTGAGGCGCCAGGAAGGCAGTCGCATGTGGAAGCCTGGCCTTAGGGGACAGGTACCGGCTGGAGAGAACTAGGGGAGTCGTTCACGGACAGGTGGTGCTTCAGTGTGTGGAAGGGGGGGTTCCCCTCCGGCTGACTGTCATCATCTGAGGTTTTCTGTTCCAGGTCAGACACTTTGACAGCCCCTACCTGGTGTACCATGAAAAGATCAAAACTAGTCGGGTGTTCATTCGAGACTGCAGTGTGGTGTCTGTGTACCCACTGGTCCTGTTCGGGGGAGGCCAAGTGAGCGTGCAGCTTCAGAGAGGGGAGTTTATTGTGTCCTTGGATGACGGTTGGATCCGTTTTGCAGCTGCTTCGCATCAGGTAAGGGCTAGTGGGCCTGTCTGTGAGGCGTGGGCCCTGAGGGGCTTTGTGCTGTGAAGTAGAGGGCATTCCTTCAGGGGCCGAGGACGACAGAGCTTAGGAAGAGTGAACGATGAGAGGGGCGGTGGGACACGGAGAGCGACCGAGGCTAGACAGAGGCCGGAGCTAGAGGCTCAGTGAGAGACTGGGAAGTGCATGGGGAGGGGAGCCCAGTTTGGGCTGGTGTGAAGGGTTTGGGACAGAAGCCGTGAGTGAGTTGTTGGACCTTCCTAATTGTTGTACAAATAACACATGTTCACCAAAGAAAAACCAGAAAATGTAGATGAGCAAAAATAAACAAAAATCACCCTGATTCTACCACTACCATTAAGGAAAAAGTAAAGGTAACGGGTCTGAATTCTTTTATTCTCAGGTCTCACATATTCACTGTTGGAATCTCTGCAGAAACATTTAAGGAGGAATATATGTTTAGGAAATAAAAATTCATTTTAACATTTGCATCTGGTAGAAAGGTAGCAAGAAGCAGAAACACCGACTCAAACATTCATGTGAATTTATTGGCACATTTAACTGTAAAGTCTAAAGCAGCATAGTCCAATAAAAATATGTGAGCCATATATATAATTTGTTTTTCTAGTAGCCACATGTAAAAAATAGGTGAAACTAATCTTAATTTTATTTAATGTAATACAGCTAAAAAGTTTTAATTTCAACATGTAATCAGTATAAGAATTTATTGAGATATTTTATACTGGGTTTTTATACTAAATCTTTAAAATCTGGGTGTACTTTACACTCACAGCACATCTGTTCAAACTTGCCATTAGATTGGCCACATGTGACAGGTATCTGCCATCTTGCATGGAAAAGGTCTAGAAGGCCAGGCATGGTTGGTTTAATTCAGCAGCTCAAGTACGACAAAAACCTGGCTGACCTCATGGTAGCAGTGTGACTGCCATAGCTCCAGGCCTCACATCTGTGCAGCGGCAAACTATGCAGGAGTGGAGACAAGAAACTTCCTCTCCTAAATCAATTTCTCTAGCCAAAGGAATGTCATAAACTCTAAGGCCCAGATGATCTGAGTCATTCACTCTGGCAAAGCTCATGGCGTGAGCCTGTTGGAGTTAGGTTGGGGTGCAAACTGCACGGTTGCCACATGATCGGAGAGCAGCAAACCATGTTGGGAAGACCTCTCCGTGCCCACCACACAGAAGCATAAGAAAACGCCATAAAAAATGTGGAGCTATTTCTTACCATGAAAGCATCAAATGTATCCCAAAGCTACAGATTTTTTGGTTTAATGTCTAGCATTTTAAATTCTCCATTTTCCTGCTTCTCCTCTTGGAGCAAATTGTAAAAGTTGACCAGGCTTTAATTTGCAGAACACTACATAGAAGCCATTCTTCCAGATTTAATCTTTTCTTTAAATGAGATGTGCTAGAGGAGCTTTTTTATAATAGTTTTCATTTATTATATTGCAGAGCTGACATTGAGCGAATGTTCTTATAGTTGCATCAAGAAATTTTAGAAGCCCTTTAGAATAAAAATGTGTTTAGTTTCTCCTCCCCACCCCCGCATGGAGTTAAAATTACTACCGGAAATCTAGATAATGATAATCATCAGTGGGACCTTACCTTTACTAACCTTTCCTCCCCTGGTGCCCCAATCACTGCTCACATTGCAACTTTCATTTTAGGTGGCCGAATTAGTAAAGGAACTCCGTTGTGAACTTGACCAGCTCCTCCAGGATAAGATAAAAAACCCAAGCATAGATCTGTGTACATGTCCTCGAGGATCCCGGATCATCAGCATGATTGTGAAACTTGTCACCACACAATAAAGACCAGTGTCAGGAGAGTGCTTGCTATTCCCCTGCTTCTTGCTCACCTGGGAAATAACAGCAGCACCTCTCCCTCCAGGCAGGCTCCGCGCTCAGGGCTGCCCCGGTGAAGGAGCCCAGGGCAGGCACCGTGCAGGCCCTGAGGCACCGCACACCTTTAGGGAAGGTTCCCAGACTGAGTATTTCTGACAGAACAAGGACACTCCCAGCACAATTTGGAGTGTCCGTGGGAGGCAGTCGAAGAAACCGGCTTGCCTGTGTTTTTCTCTGTGACTATCCCGAAGTGAATGAAATTCACCTCATCACACAAAAGTGAATGTTTAATACGATTTGGTTTTAATCTATGTATTTTTTTTCTCCTTTTTTACTGGGGTGAGATAGGAGCATGAGGAGAAATACTGAATTTTTTCTCTATCGTAAAAGCTCATCTGAAAGAAATTAGAATAGAGGACAAAAAATCATGTAAGCAAGAAAAATTAAAATTTCATTTTAGGCTATTAGCTACGAAGTAAACTTAAACTTGATCTGTGAGGGATTTTTATTTTACTCATTAAAGGTCAGCCTTAAAAAACCTGAAGAGCTCTTATTTGTTTTTAAAGTGCAAGCTGGTTTTATCCTTACCATTCTTCTTCTTAGAAGCAGAAGAGTCTAGGTGTCTTTGTTCTGTTTTTGGATTTCCATTTAGGAATCTCTGCTCTTTCTTAGGAACACCCAGATCTAATGGCCACATTGCACATTACCCAGCGAGGAATTTTGACGGTCTTCTCAGAGCAGACTTGGCACAGTCGAGGTAGAAAAGGTTGCCATGCTAGTGTCAGATTTTCAGCCATAAAAATATCTTCCAGGAGGCTGCTTATTTTCAGCCACCACTTAGGTGAATGGAGAGCTAGCATTTTGAAAAACTATCAGTACATTGATATTTTCTCTAGGCATTTATCCGTGTGGCCAGGAAGCATCGCAGAGAGCTGAGTAGAAAAAATATTCTTACGTTTGTGTGGCGCTCGGGTAGTCACTGCAGGTTTTATACTATAGATGGAATTCAAACTAATCAGCAGAACCACCACAGTGAAGGGCGTTCACTTTTCGCAGTATTATTTCAGTTAAATTTTGAGGAAACCTTCTAGGCTGTCCAAAACGGTCATTGCCCAGCGTGTTTAAGCCTTGGCGCGCTCGAAGAGCTTAGACTCTAAGTAGTATTGTTTAAAAGGCATTAATTCACGTCATCACTTTAAATTAAAAAACACGCATATGCATAGCACCTGCAGTATTCAAATTCTGACTCGCAACGGAAACCAGGCTCACATTACAGAACTGCTCAGGAGAAATGAAGACGACCACACTAACCCTCTAAAACATCTTTTGGAACCAGTTCTGACTCTCGGTGCTACAGTGGAGCTGATGCTGGCTGCCCCCCCGCCCCCAGAGACCTCTGCCCAAGCAGACCTGCAGCTTTCCACGTGGGTTTGCAGCAGAGCACACAGCGGGGAGTAAACTGCACAACTTTCCATCCTGAGCGCTGAGAAATCGCTCCCCTCAGGGGAAGCTATCCTTGGGCTGGTTACTTGTAGCCACACACAAATGCACAACTCATTCCACAGATGTGCCAGAATGTGGAAGAGATCAGGAAGCCTTGACTGAAGACACTGAGTAAGAAAATCCTCCCTGCCAAAACCAAACTTCTTAAGCCCTAGCAGTAAAATTATGAAGTCAATGAAACAGGATGACTTCACAATTGAAGGTCAGAATGCAATATGGCATTTCACGGTGAAATCGGATTTCTAAACCCCAGCAAGATGGTCAGCACTTAATGTTCATTTTATGGAGAATTCTGTGAATGTTGTAAATGTCTGCAGTATTTGTTTCACTGGAATCTAGCTAGGGAACAATATTGGTAAAGTACTTGCTACAAAATTAGTCTGCATTGGGGTTTTGTAATCTGGGTCTATGGGGAGTTCTCAGGAAATGAGAATAGGTAAACATTCTTGCAGAGGTGGTCATAGGTTGGCAAAGCACTAGTTTTGTCTTCTTCCTCCTTGAGTTCCGTATCTGAATATTACAATTCAGACTCCCTGACAAGTAATGAACTTTGGTCTTTATCCTCCCATTCTATTATTCGGGCAGTTTAACTAATACACCAAAGCGCACACACAGCCTGTGGATCTGTATGCATATGGTAAATGTTCTTTTTCCTTTCTAGGCAGTGGTTGGAATATGTCCTTAAGAGGTTATCATAAAATAAGACCTTGTGAAAGTACTTTGTAAAATTAAAATGTAGCAAATGTAAGCAAATTGGGACCGAGGGTGTGGTTTTCTGATGTGGCCCAGGCTGGCTTTTTGAGAACGGCACTCTTGTGTTTCTCAATTGCTGGGCTGAGCTGGGGCGCTCAGGCATCTCACTTGGAGGGTGTCTTATGGGTATCACCTTGTTGCCACATAAATGAGGATCCCTGGGGGCGTGATAATTATGCTCACATTGCCATTATGCTTAAACAAGCCTAGGCACATGTTGGCTCTTTCCTCCTAAGTCATGCTAGAATTAAGCAGAATGCCTAGGGCTTATTTTCTCCCAAATGCAGGGGGAAAGTTTGCTTGAAATTTTTAGCCAGTTAATAAATACAGGGTGATCTATTGTTTTCAGAAGTTAAATTTTGATCGTGAAACTCTGTCAATACTTGAGTACCCACAGTACAGTGCCTCGGGTGGAAACAATGTAGAAACAGCTAACACGGTGTATTGTCCCAGCAATCGTTTCAGACTGTTCCAGAGTGGCAGGCTTCTTCCATTCTTTTTAAGTCTCACACGTGTAAAGCTATATAATGACTGTGTAAACTATTAATCACAATGAGGCATTAACAGGAGAGACTTTTTTCTTGCCATTTCAAAGTTAATACCCCCAAAACCATATATCAAAGAGATTGGTCTTCAGTAAGATTTATAGCCAATCACTAATCCTTAAGGTGCTTTCAAATCTTAGATGTCTTAATGATTTGCTTTGTCAAAGAGCGGAGAAAGAGTTGTGCTGGAAATCACTCGCCTGATATGAGCCACCAGGAGTAAGGGCCATCGATATTTCATAAAGATACAGGACAGCAGCCCAAACACGAACTGGTTCCCACAGACAGTTCAGCCTCTGCCCCATCTTAGCCCAACAGGGGCCATCCCCACATTTACTCCTGAGTCAGTTCCAACCCAGTGAATTGAGTAAACAAGCCAGGAGAGACCTAGGAGGAGGATGGCTTAGAATCCATTTACTGGATTTCTCCATCTGTATTCCAACTTTTTAGGAAAGAAACAAATTGCAACAAAAGACAGTATGAGGGGTTGGTTTGAAAAAGCTGCTTCCCAGGGACAGCTGGGGGCTCATGTCTCATTCTTGATTTTGGCTCTGGTCACGATCTCAGTGTGGTGATATCGAGCCCCACATTGGGCACTGTGATCAGCAAAGTCTGCTTGAGATTCTCCCCCTCTCTCCCTCTGCCTGTGCCCCCCGCTTATGGGCTCTTTCTCTCTCAGTAAATAAATACTTTTTTTTAAAAAGGCAACTTCCCATACATACCAACAATGTATTTGAGATGATGACCCTGACATTACAAATACAATATTCCTAAATATGGTGTAATAATGTATTTAATAAACATTTTCAGCAGAAGCATTTCAAACTGAGGGGTTTTGTTATTATTATTCCTTATGCAGAAAAATGCAGTCACTGATACCTCCTCCAACCTAGGTTTTACTAAAAATGGCCTGAAGGAGGTAATTTTCCTTTCAAGTCAAATGAGCTTATTTTTATAAAGGGGAGAGTATCCCTGGCCGATTTTCTTCTACAGTGATTCAAGACAGGATAACATAGCCCAAAAGACTCATTTACTTACTGAGCGTCCCTTCTAATAAGTTTTGCCTCATTCCATCCCTAAGTTTCAAGTGTATTAGAAGTATGTGTTAACCATTCAAGTAAGACTTTATTTGTCCGTAGAGGTTGATTAACTATAATAGAGGATCTTACCATGTACAAAGGCTATAAAGAAGTTTCCTCACAGGAGCAAATGTGTATTTTGCTTGTTTTAAACCAGTGGTCCTCAACTGGAGGCAATTTCGCCCACCAAGGCCCATTTAGCAACATCTGGAGATGTTGTCACAACTGAGTGGGGATTGGGGGGTACTCCTGGCATCCAGGGGTTAGAAGCCAGAGATGCTGCTGAGTATCCTACAATGCACAGAATCTTCCTCAAACAAAAAATACCCAGTTCAAAATGTCAGTAGTGCCAAGGTGGAGAGAACCTATTTAAACAAAATGAGATAGGTGACTACTTAAAATGTCTAGCTATTAGTTACTAATCATATAAATTATGCCCACAGTTGTCTCTGAAAATTAGGCCTAAATCAACCCTAATCAACATGTACTGTGTGAATAAGAGCATAGGAGTCCATCATGTTGTTACCAAATGCAGAGTACTCAAGGTCTGAGGAAATTATATGTACCAATGGGAAAAGCTATATACAGATGGGTAGGGATACAGTTCTTTTAAAAACATGTTCTACCATTAAATTTCATTTTTGTAAATATCACATTTTGAAAATGTGAAAATAAGTTAAAATGTATTTTGAAAATACAATTAGTATGCGACACTAATACTGTTAACATTTTCCACTTGCAAAACTCAAGTTCTCACACTTAGGCCCACATTAGATATCTGAAATACACACACCCTTACTTTATCATTCTGTTATCTGAACAGAGTCCAACCTTTGGCCAATTTATATAACACCAATAGGGTTTTAAGAAGGGGGATGGGAGTATATAGCTCTATTGGTAGATAACTGTAAAATGTTGAAATCTAACATGAAGCCTAATCAGGAACTGTAATTTTTGGGTTCAGTAATCCTCCTATTGTTTGAACTGGGGAAAAAAAAAAACAAACAGTTTCTTTTAGGACTTGATTATTAGTAAGATTACCGGACTGAAAGTCAGAGATGTGTTATGATCTTCAGACAGATGTCTTTACAAATAGGGGCCATGCTAGATCATGGGCACCAAGGGACAATCCCATCTGAGGAGGAAACTAATCCATTCATTATAGACCCAGCACAAAATAATCCATAATTATAGACGTTTCTGTTAATGCCGCCCTTCTGTCTCTGAAATTCACCTGTGCACTTTCCCATTTAAACTCCAGCTGTCCCCATTATTTCTGGCCCATAACTCTTTATGCCATCCTTTCCACAGTAAGCATGGCTAAGACGGATTAATTGAAGCATGCAATCTGATTAGTTAACAAGGAGGCTGATTGTCCAGTTTATAACTAATGTGTGCTACGTGGCTAGTTTGAGACCCATTTTGGGGTTGCAGAAATTCCTCCCACATTTATGCTCTTAATTTCAACATAACCAACATTTGAAGCAGGTGCTATGTGCCGGCCACCCTAGGAACTCAGGATACAAAGATAAACTAGGACACCGGAAAGAGGACAATAGAGGAATAAAGTTTACTTGAATAAATTCTATCAGGAGCATAATTTACCCCCAGCCTTTGAAGGTTTTAAAGAAATTAGATCCCTATATGTTGAAATTAAAACAAAGGATACTAATGGCTTTGACCAAGTCTTAATTCTGCTTTTTAAGGATCTCATCTCATTCAGCAATTAGATGTGCTTTTTTTTTTAAAGATTTTATTAATTTACTTGAGAGAGCAAGTGAGAGAGAGTGAGCATGAGTGTGGGGGAGGGGCAAAGGGAGCGGAGAGTGACAAGCAGACTCCCTGCTGAGCAGGGAGCCCAATGTGGGGCTTGACCCGAGAGTCCTGGTATCATGACCTGAGCTGAAGGCAGATTTTTTTTTTTAAGACCTTATTTATTTGACATAGCAAGAGAGCACAAGCAAGGGGAGCAGCAGAGGAAAAAGCTGGCTCCCCGCTAAGCAGGAAGCCTGACTCAGGGTCCGACCCCAGGACCCTGGGATCGTGACCCACTGTATTTGGAAGGCACCTGGGTGGCTCACTTGGTTAAGTGCCTAACTCTTGGCTTCAGTTCAGGTCATGGTTTCATGGGTCATTGGAAGGAGCCCCACCTTGGGCTCCGTGCTTAGAAGGAAGTCTGTTTGACAGTCTCTCCCTCTGTCCCTCCCCTCAATCACACATGTGCTCTCAAATAAACTCTAAAAATTAAAAAATAAAACATTAGAAAATCTATGTGACCTTAAATTAGGCAGAGTTCTTACCCACAAACACCAAAAGCATGAACCATAACAGAAAAAAAATTGGTAAATCAATTTCTTAAACTTCTGCAGCTCAAAAACATCATTAAGAAAATCCAAGACAAGCCACAGACTGGGAGGAAGTATTTGCAAATTATATTTCGGTAAAGTACTTGTATCTAGAATATATTAAGACTTCTTAGAACTTGGGTGCCTGAATGGCTCAGTTGGTTAAGAGACTGCCTTCAGCTCAGGTCATGATCCTGGAGTCCCAGGATCAAGTCCTGCATCAGGATCCCTGCTCAGCATGGAGTCTGCTTCTCCCTCTGACCCTTCCCTCTCATGCTCTCTCTCTCATTCTCTCTCTAAAATAAAATCTTAAAAAAAAAAAATGACTTCTTAGAACTCAAGTAGACAACTCAGTTTTAAAAATGGGCAAAATACTTGAGTAAACATTTCACCAAGTATACTACAGATGGCTTAAGAAGCCCATGAAAAGATGTTCAACATCATTAGTCATCAGAGAAATGCAAATGAAATATTACTTCATAGCCTCTAGAATCACAGTACCACGTACTGATAAGGGGTCAGAGAAAATTAGAGCCTTCATACATTGCTGATGGAATGTAAAATGGTGCAGCCACATCAGAAAATAGCTTGAGTTTCTTAAAAAGTTAGACATAATTTATCACGTAATCCAGTAACTCCAGGGGCACCTGGGTGGCTCAGTGGGTTAAAGCCTCTGCCTTTGGCACAGGTCATGATCCCAGGGTCCTGGGATCGAGCCCCGCATCGGGCTCTCTGCTCAGGAGGGAGCCTGCTTCCCCCTCTCTGTCTCTGCCCGCCTCTCTGCCCACTTGTGATCTCTGTCAAATAAATAAATAAAATCTTTAAAAAATATATTTTTTTAAATCCAGCAACTCCACGTGTAGGTATTTCACATAAGAGAAATGGAAATCTGTGTGCATACAGAGACCTCTCACAAGTGTTCACAGCAGCATTATCCACAGTAGCCCCAAACTGGGAACAACCCAAATATCCATGGTGAATGAATAAACAAAAAGGAGTATATTCACCATGGAGTATTATTCAGTAATAAAAAGGAGCCTGTGCTACATGCTACACGGATGAACTTCAAAAACCTAACGCTAGGTGAAAGAAGCCAGACGTGAAGACCAAATACGGTGTGATCGCATTTATACGAACAGAACCGTCAACCCCACAAATACGGAAAGATTACTGGTCGCCTGGGACTGAGGGTGGGAATGGGAATTCACTGCGAATGAGATACAGAATCTTGTGGGGATGGAAATGTTTAAAAAATAAAGGATTGCGGTGCTGGTTGCACAACTCTGTCAATTTACTAAAGATCACTGAATTATAGGCTTCAAGTGGATGAATTTTATAATAATACCTCAATAAAGTTTTTTAAAAATATGTTGAGCAACCAATAATACATTATATGTTAATAAAAAATAAAAATCCTGGAGCGCCTGGGTGGTTCAGTTAAGTGTCTGACTCTTGGGTTTCAGCTCAGGTCACGATCTCAGGGTCGTGAGATTGAGCCCCAAATGGGAACCTGCTCTGGGCATGGAACCTGCTTAACATTCTCTCTCCAGGATGCCTGGGTGGCTCAGTCCGTTAATTGCCTGCCTTTGGTTCAGGTCATGATTCCAGGGTCCTGGGACCAAGACCCTGCTTTTCCCTCTGCCTCTTCCCCTGCTTGTGCTCTCTCTCGTGACAAATAAATAAAACCTTCATTTAAAAATGTGCATACTGGGGCGCCTGGGTGGCTCAGTGGGTTAAAGCCTCTGCCTTCGGCTCAGGTCATGATCCCAGGGTCCTGGGATCAAGCCCCACATCGGGCTATCTGCTCGGCAGGGAGCCTGCTTCCCTTCCTCTCTCTCTGCCTGCCTCTCTGCCTACTTGTGATCTCTGTCAAATAAATAAATAAAATCTTTTTAAACAATAAAATTTTTAAAAAATTTTTAAAAAGTTGGGTGTCTAGCTGACTCAGTCAGTAGAGCATCTGACTCTTGATCTCAAGGTTGTTGAGTTATAGCCCCATGTTGGGTATAGAGATTATTTAAAATCTTTACAAAACTAAATAAAGATTTATTGTAAGATACCTTTAATTTAAAAAAAAATAGGCACATGACTGGCTCAGTCAGAAGAGTATGTGACTCTTGATCTTGAGGTCATGAATTGAAACCCCATTCTGGGCATAGCAATGACTAAAAAAATACTTTAAAAAAAAGTCACTTTATAGAGAAACTTGATAAACACCACCTTCACCAAGTGATCATAGTTAACATCATGAGAAATGGAACAAATCAATACTATGTGCCTCCTGATATGATGCATCGAGAATATTATCATTTCCAGGGTATCCCTACCCAAAAGAACCCTATCAAACTAGAACAAAAGGAAACATCAGACAAACTCAAATTGAGGATTATTCCACAAAATAAATGTCAATGTCCTAAAAATCAAAGAAAAGACTGAGGAACTATTTCCAATTAAAGGGACATAACTGAACATGATACGTGGTTCAAATTTTAAAAATCATTTTGTGTTTTGTTTTGGGGTTTGTTTTGTTTTGTTGCAATACATGGACATGGAGACAATGTGGATAAGGTGTGTATTAAATCACAGTACTGTATCAATGTTACTATCCAGACTTTGATGACTGGTAAAAGAATGTCCTCATTTTTCCATCACATCCATGATTTACCCTCAAACAGTTCAAGGGGAGAAAATGAACACACACACACACACACACACACACACACAGAAAATACAGATGTGGTGAAATGCATTTGCTGAAAAAAGATATACGGGAATTATCTGTCTTGTTATTGCAAATTTCCTATCAATCTGAAATTACGTTAAAATAAGTTAAAAGAGGGGTGCCTGGGTGGCTCAGTGGGTTAAGCCGCTGCCTTCGGCTCAGGTCATGGTCCCAGTGTCCTGGGATCGAGCCCCGCATCGCATCGGGCTCTCTGCTCAGCAGGGAGCCTGCTTCCTCCTCTCTCTCTGCCTGCCTCTCTGCCTACTTGTGATCTCTCTCTGTCAAATAAATAAATAAAATCTTAAAAAAAAAATAAGTTAAAAGAGGGGTATGGATGCTATTATTACATAATTAGAATATACTTCCATGAGTAAATATTAGAGACACAAAGAAATAGATATGACAAAATGATAATACGAGGTTTCCAGGTTCGAGCCAGATCATTTACCCTCTTCAGCACTTAGCTTGTTTGCAGGCACACTGTTTAAACAGTCAGAGGACTAGGCTGCCAAGAAACAGTCTCTCCCCAGCTCATTAGTCTGACAGCAAACAAATCTACCAACACCAGTGCACCTGTCCCCGGGCCAGGGCTCCAGCCCAACGGATGCTGTGGGCAATGTCCTACATGGCTTCTCTCATCTCAAGACATCCCCATATCTTGCGAAAATCATTTCCACACTAAATTTAATTGGTTCTTATTCCCCATTCCCTATTTGCTTTCAGAGACATTCAGGATTTGAATGGAAGGGTCTTAGTCACAGCGAGCAAGGATATGCACTAAATCTTTCTAAGATCGTGGGAACTTTAGAGTTGTGAAGGAAGGACTGCTTCCCCAAAGTTTCTGAACTGCTTTTGCAAGTGTGGCCTGAGACAGGTAGCATCATCATTATCTGGGAATCTGTTAGGAATGCAAATGCCTGGGCCCCAACCTGGACCTCCTGAGACAGAATCCATGGTGGGTAGGGTCCCGCAATCAACTCTAGCAAGCGGTCGGACTGATTCTAAGGCTGGCTGAAGTGTGAGGAGCTTGAGGCTACATCCTGTCATTAGACAACTATGCAGGAAAATAGTGCTAATCAAGCTGCACTCAAAGATCCCCTCAACCTGAATATTTTAGCATTTCTTGCAAAAGGCACCACTTCTCTTTTTGTAGGAATAAGGGACATACATAAGAACTGAAAGGTTTGCAAAGCTGGACCCCTGCCGACACACTAGGGAGAAGTTAGCGTGAGTTCAGTCCTGTAGCAGCCCACGTGGCCTATCCAGTTCAAAACTGCCTTCGGAAGTCTGCCCCAAGCCCTGGCACACCAGGCTGCTCCCACAATTTCCTAGGGCAAACTTTTTGTAAAGACCTATACATACCTATTTAAAGACTTTATTTGAGAGAAAGAGAGACAGAGATAGTGACAGAGATAGTAAGCTGGGAGGAAAGGGAGCAGCAGACTCCCCGCTGAGCGAGCCTGATGTGGGGCTCCATTCCAAGACCCTGGGATCATGACCTGAGCCAAAGACAGACACTTAACTGAGTAAGCCACCCCGGTGCCCCAAAGGGCTGTATTTTTCTTTCTTTTTTTTTTTTTTTCTTTGAGTAAAGCAATAGAAGTGAAGACACAGAAAAAGATCTCAGGAGAGGGGTCCCAAGAGAGTTGTCTGGGAACTTTCGGGTTGGTCTTTAATAGAAAGCTAACCAGGGAACTTAAATCCTTTTAACATCTCTATTGATAATGACTTCAAGGGCTTACTTCCTTTTTAGGGTCTGGTTATTCTGTTGGTCACAGGTCATTATCACAAAGACACTCACCCCACAAGTCTAGGGCAGGGCTATATTTTTCTCTAAATATAAGCCATACAGTTTGCCACAATATTCATATCTGCCATTATGGCTCAAAAGCAGCCACAGAAAATACATAAACTAGTGGGTATGGCTGTGTTCCAGTAAAACTTTTCATCAAATGCAGCAGGGTACATTCGTCCCAAGGGCTCAATGTTTGCTGACCCTTGTCCTAGGGAGTCAGAGACCTGGGGTTCTAATCTGACCTGCCCCTGAGAAGACACCCAACCGACAATCTGAGGTACCTCCCTCAGTTTCTAGGCCAGAAACCTCCATATGGAGTCTTGGCCCCTTCCAAGGGGTAGGGCCCGGTGTAGTGAGGCATGCTTCCTGCATTCTCTCCCTTCAGTGAAGCCTGACCTGGGAATGGGGGCTACAGGCAGAAAGCAATATGGGCCAGAAGCCTTGGCTGAATCCACCAGGCACAGGAACTGGGTTCAGTGCGGCAGCCAAATACTTGTCCCACTTACCTTTTCTTCAGAGTTATCAGCCGGGCTCACTGTAAAGGCTTTGAAAGTTACACAGTTTATGTGTTAAGATTTTACAAATAGTTAAAACTTTTCAAGTTTCGATCAAAAAAGCATATATCCCAACATATTCTGATTCAAAAGCAATTTCATCCTTACACAATAAAGAAATATTTTTAAAACAGACACACGCAGTTAGGACAAGGGACTTAATAAGACTTTTTATATTGAATCTAACATGTTGCGTTAGTTCCCAATACATTTCTTGCCTAACAAAAATGGAGGTGTTCTCCCACCAAAAAAGACAGAATTCTAACGTCCTCGTGCTATTTTGCTGCATGTGAGGCTAACCTTGCCATAGTTCGCTTATTTATTAACACTCATAATCCACATCCAAATCCACTTGATTTTTCCAAAACAACAGAAAATTAAAACTCAAACACACACACACACACACACACACACACACACTCAACTGTGTGGCTTTGAAGTCTTATAATATGGTGGTGGATTTAACATTCAAAACATTTTATGAAGGAAAAAATTAAAATGAAGTGTTATTTCAATCGATGAATCCACAAGTCTTGGCCTCTCACTGGTAAGCTGCAAGATGTCCTTGAATAAGATCCTGAACACGGGACAGAATAATCTCATTAGAACTGCTACAATTTTCTGGACCATAGGGCGGGTCTATAGTCAGAACCCCAGCCACACACAGAGTCCTTTGTGAATCTCCCTGTTCTGTGATGGGGATGTGGTTCTTCTCGAGCCATTTCTTTACGCTATTCCTTCTCTTCTCCAGATCCTCAGGGCTGTAGGCCTTGCAGTCTCCGGACGTGAACAAATGCATCAGCTTCTCTCTGACTCTGTGGTCCCCTTCGCTCACAGTTTCAATGGTCTGCACAGCATGGCCCATAATTCCAGTCACAGACATGCTGCCGTCTTCCAGGAAGTTCACAAGGACAATACTTGGGCGGAAAAGTTAAGTTCAGCGCAGATTTGCAAAAGAAAAATATAAAGGCCCATAGAACTACGAAAGAAGCAATGGAATAAAGAGGCATCGCCAGCCCCAACAGGCAATTATAAATCAGGAATAAGAACTTCCCTGTTTAAAAATAATCCCCTCACCACCAAATGTTTGTACTCATTCAGTAAGTATTCACTGAGGGTCCTACATGTCTAAACTCTTTTGTCTAGCCTAAAGCCAATCATTGCGGGATGCAGTTAAAGCACTGAAATGTTATAAATGGCTTACATGTGTATTGGAAAGGAAGAAAGGGTACAGACTTAATTTTCAAGTTAAACAACTGAATAACCTGGCTTCAAAGCAGACCAAAGAAAATAACAAAACACACAATTAATGAAATAGAATGTAAAAACGTTAATAACATGATCATCAAAGCCAAATGTTGGTTCTTTAAAAAAAAATGTAAGAATTCACAAAACTCAGACAAGACTGATTAGAATGAGGAAAAAAGACACAAACAGATAATATTAGGAAGAAGGCAGCAAAGATTGGCAATTTAAAGTATTAGGAACAAATTTATGCCAATAGTGCTTGAAAACTACAACAGAAAACTTCCTAGAAAATACAAATTTCTACTACTGAGTCAAAAAAAGAATATAAATAGTCCTATAACCTTTCATAAAAACTAAGTATTTTAAAATATTTTCCCTTGGAGGGGGTAAAAAAAGGCCTAGACAGTTTTACCAACAAATTATACAAAAGTTTCCAAGGTTCAAACTTTTTTTTTTTAAGATTTTATTTTTTAAGTTATCTCCACACCAAATGTGGGGCTCAAACCCACAATCCTAAGATCAAGAGTTGCACGCTCCACCAACTAAGCCAGCCAGGCACCCCAAGGTTCCAACATTTCTAACCTAACCAAATTCTTCTAGAGACTACAAAAGAGAAACTGTGCCTTAACTCATTTAACAAGGCTAATATAATCTTGATACGAAAAGCAGAGAAGAGGGTTAAAATATAAAACTACAAGCTAATCTCACTCATGAATACAAATGCAAAAATCCTAACTAAATAAAATATATAATGTGATGTGATGTGATGTGATGTGAATTTACTTCCTTGGTACTCCTCCCCAAACCTAAAATCCCAGGCTATTAATGAGAAAGCATCACACAAACTGAAATTGAGAGACACTCTACAAAATACCTCACCAGAACTCCTTAAAAGTGTCAGTCATGAAAAACAAGGAATGACTAAAAAATTGTCAGATCAGAGGGACTAAGGACATGACAATTAAACATAATGTTGGATCCTAGATTGGTCCTGGAACAGAAAAAGGCAAACAATTAGTGGAAAACTGTTAAAATCCAAATGACAGCAGTTTAGTTAATGTAGTTTTAGTTTTGAGGAATGTACCATGGTTAGGTAAAATGCCAACATTAGAGGAAGCTGGATAGATGGGTCCTCTCTGTACTCTTTTCTCTAAATCTAAAATCATTTCAAAATTAAGTGTGTGTGTATCACCACCTTTAAATCAGTCTTGCAAAAAATCAAATCTGATCCTAATCAAATCTCCAGATAGGAATACCAGTTTACAGGAAATATGGAGGATAAAAGAACATGTTAAGCTACACCATGATAATGCAATAAGCTAAATCCAGAATGTGTTCAATTCTATAAGACAAATGATTCTATTTCTTCAACAAATAAATGACATGGAAAACCAAAAAGAGAAAATGCAGGCATAGATTAAGATACTTAAGAGACCTATCAACCAAACTGATAAACAAATTAAAGAGATATTTGAGACAACCAGGCAAATCTAAAAACAGACTGTTAGTAATGAAGTTATTACTACTTTTGTTAGGTATTATAGTGTTACTGTGGTTATTAAAGAGTCCTTATGTGCCAAAAGATATATTGAGGTATTTACGAACAAAATTATATATCTAGAACTGGCTTACAGATATTTAGAAGGGGAAGGTAAGGCTAGTATCTTCTACACTATTCTCTGTACATTTAGGTATGTTTGAGATTTTCTAATCAATGTAGTAACAAAAAAAGTGTCTCACTTTTACAAACCTGGCTGGTCTGCCAAGGTAATCCATCCTTAGAACAACACTTCAATTCAAAGGCAATACAATTCTTAGGGTGAATAACTAGCCTTTCATTTATCTACTTCCTTAGCTTGGACATAACATAGGCAGCACAAAGGAGCGTCATTAAGATTTGGGGGGGGGGCGCACGTGGGTGGTTCAGTGGGTTAAGCCTCTGCCTTCAGCTCAGGTCATGATCTCAGGGTCTTGGGATCGAGTCCTGCATCCGGCTCTCCGCTCAGCAGGGAGCCGGTTTCTCCCTCTCTCTGCCTACTCGTGATCTCTCTCTCTCTCTGTCAAATAAAAATCTTAAAAAAAAAAAAAAAAAAGATTTCAGGGAAGGAGGACCCATACTCACTTGGCAGAAACTGGGTCTGTGGTTAAAACCCATCCTTTATACTCCTTCCCACTGGCTGTCACTTTGACTTCTTTGTACGTGTAATCTTGCCATTCTAAGGGGCCTTTCCTCATCCATTCGTTCATGGCTGCCAGCTGGCTAGATATAAAACCACCACCAGTTCGGGTTAATATATACGTTCCACTCAAGTAACGGCCATCCTAGAAATAGAGAACCCCTGTGATTTGCCTCAAGCTACAAAGCAGGAAAATAGCGGATATTCACAATTCTGTCCGAAAGCCAAGGAAACACCGAGGTGCCATGGGGCCCAGTCCGGGGTAAATCCTGCGGCTTACTTCTCTATTGCACCACCCCGGGCCATTCCAGATCGCCCTCACTCCGGCTTTGAACTCCGATCAGCAGAGGCTCAAACCCTTTAACTCTGCTCCCCTGCGATCAGAGGAGCTCACTCCGCACCACTTTTAGCCAAAACTGAAGAAGAAAATTCCTTTGATATCCACCCACTGGCTCTCCAGCTGTTTCCGCTGGATCCCGTCAGGGAGAGGCCCAGGATCTGACAATCTCCTCTTACTTGTTTGGAGGATGCACGAACGACGGGGCAGCAGCAAAGTCTCTAGAGCGCAGATCCCGTTGCCTAGCTTGCAGCTGCGCGATACTTAAAACAGCACTCAAACCTGGTGGTACTTAACGTTTAATCCCCACAAAGGAGAAAAATAGCAGCAAGAACTCCCAGCAGCGACGGGTACGCGGCAACCACGAGGTGAGGAAGGAGTCACTCCAGCGGCGCCCCCTGAGCCCAGCATGCTTTGCGCCATGTCGTCACTTCCTTCCCCCAGAATTCTCTGTTTTGTAGTCCTTGGCCTTGGTCACACCTAGAAGTCTGAGACTCACCCGGCGTCGGGGGATAAAGGTCGGGTGCGGGCAGAGCCTGAGGTTTTTGTGTAGTAATAATAAGGCTCCTTGTTCGCTAGAACCACTCCTCGTCACTGTCACGATGGACATTTCAACAAAAGTCTCGTGCCAAGTTCCTCATTGAGAGTTGACTTGGAAATGCACCCTTGCGGTGGAGTCAAAGCACCAGAACCCCCCAGGTAAATCCTAAAGCTTTAGAAGTGTGAGATGAAAGTGCCTCGGAGAAAGCGATAAAACCAAGATATTTGTTTGGCTAGTATAAGGCAATTAATACGTCTGCTCCTTTAGGATGTGCCCTTGCTACATTCCTGCAGGAGATGCAGAAGCCAGAAAGAAAAAGCACAGGATTGGGATGATTTCCACCTAGACCACCACTCACTAGTGAGAGGTGCCTCCCTCACTAGGAAAGCCCCGGCCTTTCCCGAGCAGCCCCTCACCATCCCCGCAATGGAAAAGTCCAAAACACTCGCTTTTGCCACAGATTTCCGTTCAGGTATGTAGTCGGCTCCTGGCATGGTCCAGATAAACTGTGATCCTGAAAAATGGTATAAAGTGTTAAACGTTGGGTTTTCGCGAATGTGAACGCCAAAGGAGATTTACGGAAACCGAATTAGAGGACTATCAAACCATGATGTAGAGAACATTGAAAATTAGTCAGCTTTTCCCTTACAATTTGGGATTTGAGTTCACATAATCCTTGAAGTACATTGTTTCTTATTGCCATCGTTTCAAATAATCCTTTAGCAACTTTCACTCGTTGATTGGCTGATATTAATGTGGCTTTAGCAGATGAAATTAGATGAGTCCTCCATAAATCTACAAAGAGCTAATATAAATACCAACTGGAGGTGCCTGGATGGCTCCTTCAGAAAAGCAAGCAACTCTTGACCCCCAGCTTATGAGTCTGAGCCCCACATTGGGCACAGAGATTACTTCAATAAAAAATGTATAAATACATACATACCAATTGTTAAAGTGTGGAGCTAAACATATGACCTCATAAAAATTCAGTACAAAAGAGCTTCAACCAATTGTTGACAACTGGTCATTTGCATTTTAAGCCTTCTATCTGTACTGCACAAAGACTCTGGAAGCTAGCTTCAAATTTAACTTAAATGACCCCTTTTAAAGTAATGAGACTGGGGCAAATTCCTTCTCTTCTCTCCCCTCTCCCTTTAGTCTCCCAGATAAAGAATCATTTCCAGCATCGGCTGATGTGAATCACTGATTTATAACAGACTGAGCCCAGCCCACTCCCTAATGCAGGTTTACAGAAAGACCCTCTCCTATAGTCCACCCTCAACAAGTTCGGATGGTGCCATTTCCTTTCCCCTGGCAACCCCTACCCTTGTCCCCCTGGTGCTTCCCTCAGACCGGTTGATGTCCCTTCTCTCACATTTTCTAGTTTTCTTCCTCTCTTCCCCTTCCCTCTCCCTCCATCTCCTTCCTAATATCTGCCCCCCGCGAAACCATCATACACACACACACACACACACACACACACAACCCTTTCCTCTGCCAAGTGCAAAACTGCTTATTCTAGATTTTGGAGTACATTTTCATTTTAGCAAGACATATTGTTTTAAGTAATCTCTACACCCAATTTGGGATGTGAATTCATGACCCTGAGATCAAGAATTGAATGCTCTGGGGCACCTGGGTGGCTCAGTCTGTTAACCTCTTCCTTTGGCTCTGGTCATGGTGTTGGAGTCCTGGGATCAAGCCCCACATCAGCTCTCTGCTGGGCAGGGAGCCTACTTCTCCCTCTCCCTCTGGCTACTGCTCCCCCTGTTTGTGCTCTCTGTCTCTCTGTGTCAAATAAATGAAATCTTAAAAAAAAAATTGCATGCTCTCCAACTGAGCCATCCAGGTGTCCCAGCAAGAAACATTTGTTTAAAGAACCTTTTCTTAATTTCCCTGAAGAAAATCAGGAGTTAAAAAAGTTGTCAATAGTTTTACCACCTTATCATGATACAAAGATAAACCTGCCCTGCCCTGGACAGACTATCACAATTTTCAATTCACAGTTTTGCATTATAATAGTAAAAAAGAATATACTTAACATTAAAAAAAAGGTAGAAAATGAGTAGGGGTGGGGTAGTAATTTGCTGACTCTATTTCATGCAAGGTAAGGTCAGAAAAAAATTACTGGTCATTTTTTTAAAAGATTTTATTTATTTATTTGACAGACAGAGATCACATGTAGGCAGAGACGCATGCAGAGAGAGAAGGGGAAGCAGGCTTCCCGCTGAGCAGAGAGCCCAGTGCGGGGCTTGATCCCAGGACCTCGAGATCATGACCTGATCCCAAGGCAGAGGCTCAACCCACTGAGCCACCCAGGCACCCCATAACTGGTCATTTTGACCGAAGATTTTTTTTTAATGTTCTTTTTTTTTCATTCATTCAATAAGTAGAACCCACTAAAAGTGTCCATTCTTTATTTCTGCATTTATTCATCAAGCATACATTGTGTACCTACCCATGCTACACTTTCTGTTAACAGCTAGGAATTCAAAAGCTAATTTTAAAAATGTCTTGCCTCTGGGAAGTTGATAATGTCAACTTTTACCTTGCAATTGGTAAGACATGGTTCCCATGTCTCTTTATACTTGTAAACAAGTAAGCTATCATTCTACCTAAGGTGGTAATACATGGGAAGGGTTGGGGAACAGGTTCTTAGAAAAGCTTCTTAAAGAGGTAGCCCTTGAACTAGATTATAAGTAATGAACCAACCACAAAAAATTCTGTGTTTATGGAACAGAGAACCTAATCAAAGGAGGTGTAGGTTGGAGTGAAAAGCAGTGGGCAGGAAGTTTTACCAATCTTGGCTTCATTTGGTTAAATCTGTAGCATTCTGGTAAACTGGTTTTCCTGGAAGAAGGAGTCTTGATTTGTACCATTTGCTGATTTCTACATAAATATTCCCACTGTGGTTGATTTCAGAGTACGAATGATTTAACAACAGGCTCAAGAAATCCCTGAATATTTAACAATGGGCTCTTTTACGACAGTTTAAACTGGTTCCTGCACACCACTGTGTTCCTACCGGCTTTGTGACTTTGGATGTCATTAGCCCTCTTAGATTTCACTTTCTGCATTTATAAATGAAAATGTGGGATCAGATGACATAACATGCTGTCAGCAATAAATGTTCATGACTAAGCCATACAGTCACTGAGAAGCACTGTAAACCCTCTAAGGGCAGGGGCTGTGTCTGTTTTATTTACTACCATATATCCCACCTCTACCACAGTGCCTGGCATGTAGTAGGTGCTCAATTTGAACTGAATTTTCATTTCTTAGGCAGTTATATATCCCCTAATACGTGCCAGGCACTACTTTAAGAACTTTCAGATATTAACTCATTTTGAGTGAATAACTATACCAAAGAGATTGGAAAAAAATTGAGTAATGGAATAACGTGATTAAATCAGTATATTAGAAAGGATGCAGAGAACTAAGAGGTGGAGAAAACAGGGAAGTACAGAGTATATATATACAGCATGAAACTTTATGTAAAATGTAGCCTTTCTATCCAAACAAACCAGTGGTATCAGGACAAAAAAATTCCAGAAACACTTTCCAAATGGAAATAGGATTTAGGGAGGCAGTGTCTCTAAATTCATTAGTTATCTGCTCTGCCCAGCGCTGCCCAGGCCTGCCTAAAGGGGAGATTTTTACAACCTCAGAGAAAGCTGATTTCCCTAGCAATAAGGTGAAGATAGAGTTGTTTTCCCTGGATGAAAATGCTTTGAACAGACTTTGTGAACTCTAAAGCACTAAACCCATGTCAGGCATGAAGGTTTAGCAAACTACTTCTGTAATCATTGCTTTTCAAATATGCTCAGCTAATATCTTTATACTGGCTAAAAATCAGTGCCGTTGTTTTCATTGAGTTCCTCTTAGTCAATGACATAATCAGTCTAAGCGGTATGAATATACATGTTTCACATAGATTTTGTTTTGAAAAGAACTAAAGTGGGGTTAACTATTTTTATTTTTCCCTGGAATTGCCTTGGAAAAACAAAAGATGTTGACTACCGAGCTCCTAAAAATTGGTGCAGTAGCCCAGACAGGATATATATATATAATGTCCAGACAGGACATAATAAAGTCCTAGCCTAAGCTGATGGCAGTGGAAATGAAAAAGGAGGAGAAAAAAGGAGTGGAATTGACAAATATCTCAAAGGAAAAATCAACAGGATTTAGTGATTGATTGGACTGGAGCAAGGGCATGTTGAGATCCTTTAACAGAGCTTCTCTCTGTTCTTTTCTTCATTCATAACCCCCTCTTCCTCTTTGTTTTTTCAGGATCTCAAGCCTCCAAGTAGTTATTATATTTACTAAATTAGATAAGAAATTTCTTCCTGGAATAAAAAAATGCTTCAATAACACTTTGTGTTATGGCACAGGAAGGCCACAGTGAGGTCTCTCTCCATGCTCTTATAAACTAACTCTACATGTTAAGTAAAATGGATGTGATTCAATCTGTGATTCATTTGTACAAAGAGAACATCTATAATCTGGATTACCAGAGAATGTGAGGATGACCAAAATTCCAAGCTAAGCGACCTGGTTGTATTCTCTGGACGCAGGACTGGAATAGGATTTTCTAGTAGTAAATGGAAGCTTTAATGTATGATACCATACTAGGTACATTCAGCACCCCAGGGTTGGCAGCAGAAGACATGGAAGAAGAAAGGTCAGTTAGCCAAAGATTGGGAGGTATTTCTCAGAGACCCTGGATCCACAAGGCGGGGACTTTCCAGAG